GCCGCGCGGCGCCGCACGCGTACGGCGGTGGCGGAGGTTGTTTACACGCTAAAAAAAATCTGTCGCACAAAACGCGCAGTCGTTTTACTCCAAACACATATAAACGACGCACGTGTAAACCGGGCCTAACGGTTATATTTAGGTCACGCCTCCCTTTTTATACTGATTGATACTAGAGATGGAGGCCAGAGTTCTAAGCGCGCGTGATGTACGTGCGATCAGAAGATCTTGCAACTTGCAAATAAGCCCCCCCCTACCCCCCACAAAAGCAGACTGCACCTAGAACGCCTGTTACTAACTCACCGATACACTCAACAGCAACGTCTTCAGCATGCGTACAGCTATGGCCATCCTTTCCAACGTGATTGCAGTCTTTCAGGTTTGGTTCGGTTCCGCTACAGTCTACTTCGTCCATCCAGATCTCCCCAGTCGCCGCGTCGGCATCGACATCGATCAGTGCCCGTTGAACGCCGGGAAATCCCGCCTGACGACATGCCACCTCTGCGTCGTTCTCGTCCCATCCGTTCTTACAAATTGTGCCCCACTCTCCTTCACGGTAGATTTCAACTCTGCCTCTCCAATCTGGATCTCTCTCTTCATGACCTTCCAGCCGGATATCTGACCAAACGAATAAGATTGAATTTTTATTTGATGCAATAGCAATTGTCATGTACCCTCCGCATACCAAACTTTAGGTTCATTTGTGGGCATTATGTAACATTTCTGCTCCAAAAGTTGAAATATTTTAATTAAACAAATCTCCGTGTGATTGTACTTTACTTCCACTTTATACAAAGTCCATACCATATGGTATAGATGAAATATATTGTGTTCTCTCATGTTTCTTCTTCTCCTCCTCCTCCTGCCAAACAGTCAAAGGGATTCAACTCTGTCAGCCAAATGACCTGAAATTTGGCATGAGGGTAGAGTGGGCCAATACCCCCAGGCGTTTTGTTTTTCATTTTTTTGATACATGCCTTTGAAAAATTTTTTTGAAGGTTTTTTGGGCATTTTTTGACAAAAAATGGATTTTTGGATCCTGAGCCCTGGTATTACAACCAAATGATTTGAAATTCGGTATAAGGGTACCTTGAACGTGTGTCTACAGAATAGCAGTCACATATTTGGCATAAACCACTTTCAAATGACTCATTTGGGGGGCTTTAATGGCTATTTTCAGCCAAAAAGGGCCAAAAGTGCCATACCCGTTCCACTTTCGATCTAAAGAATGGCCGGATCCATCTGCCGTTGGCCATCGAACACTGCTCGAACACATCGAACATTGCGGGTTACCTGGGGTCACGTTGCACGTAAGTCGTGCGCAATGACCCACACATTCAATTTTATGTGCCTAAGATCATTACGTCATCTACAATCACGACGATGGAATATGCCGACCATCCTATTTATGGACTGAAATATGCTGTATTTGCCCCAAAGCAAATGTCGGCCTTTCTAGTTTGCAATTTTCTCACATTTCTGACATTTATGGTTGGCGCTAAATAGCCTAATTCGCACTTAGTTTGAGGCACCAGCAAAAACTACAAGAATGTAAAACAAACATGACTGACAGCTGTGTTTCCAACTTTTCAACACACTTGTTGCATCATATTTTGGCACTTCCACTTCTTTAATGACACTTATTTGCAACGGATTATTGTTGATTCGTATAACTTGCTTAGTAAAAAAAATCACTAGAAAATTTACATTTTAACCCCCATAATTCATCTTTAATACCGTAAACCAGAGCAAAGGAGCCAAAAATTGATACAAATAAATTGAAACATATTTCTCTTTTATATTTTTACTGTTGAGTGTAACTAGGCGCGGCTGACAAAATGTAATTCGTAAATATCCTAAAGTCAACGGAGAAGATATGAAAAAAAAGAAATACACAAGTTATTGTTCGGTATACTAATGCCACGTTCAGTCACCTGCTCACAACTTTGATTTAATTTTTTATTGCCATTTTCTTGGCACGCTCGCATCGGTTTGGGGTGCCTAGGAGATTTCATTCATGTAGTTAATTGAAATTAGTAATACCACTACGTTACTAATACAGATTTTGCTATAATGAAGTATACTTAATGCGGTTTTAAGAAGCCTGTTGGTAAGCAATTTTCAACAATAAAATGTTTTTTTTTATTAAAGAACCTACAGTCATATCTTAAGCGTAAACAAAACCCAAATTCTTACCCCTACACACGGGATCAATATCATCGTTTTCTTCGACTTCGTCATCGGGAAACGTCCATTGTCCGTCATCCTCAGATTGATACTGCCATCGGCCGTCCCACGAACATTTAAGGTGATCGTAAGGAAAAAGTTCGTAGCCGTCTTCACAGGCGAAGGTCCACTCGCTATCAATCCCCCAATGTGTACCCGATGTAACTATGACGTCAGGGGGCAGGACCAACTCGCGGCATCGTGCAACTGAAACAAAAACGATTTTTTTTCCAAATTCATTCCGAGGGCTGATTGCAAGAACAAGTGTCCATAGGCGACAATTCTCCGTGAAGTTTTATATTTTACAGATTGAGAATAGTGTATGTAAACAGTGTGTGATCACTGAACAACTGGTAACAACGTATCGTAAAAATGGCTAAATCCCTGGTCTAATAATCTAGCCTGACTAAAAAATCGCGCTCCTGGTGGCCACCTGCCCAGAGGTTTGCGAACACGAAAAAACTGCTGTTTACAACACTCCGTCCGGAGGTCCTGACCTCCTTCACGGAGTAATAAAGCAAATGATGAAATCATAGTAAAGAGCAAAATGACATTATACTACATTATACTCTTAGCCCATATGGGCTTTTAAGACATCGGAACATTAAATAAGTACAGAAATCATAGAAACATGAATCCAAGACCAAATCAAAGGTCAACTGGCCGCTAATGGCTAGCCTAGATACCATCCTCCTTAGCTTCCCAATGTAAGGAACCACTCTCTCGGGCCAGGCTAGGCCTCTACTTTGTCCTACTAAGCATTTGCCTTGATTCTAAAGTTCTATAGCTCTAGCAGGCTTTCCTGATTATTACCTCCATGAAAAATGGAGGTATTGTTTTTGGCGGCGTCTGTCTGTGTGTCTGTGTGTCTGTGTGTGTGTCTGTGTGTGTTTCCGCAACTTTGTAGTCAGCATAACTTCATAACGCCTTTATGGATTGTGATGATATTTGGTATGCTGATAAGTCTTTGGAAGACAAAGGTCAAGGTCAAATATGGGCCTCCTGGTGGATGACCTTGGTACTGCAGCAGAACTTCCGGTTTTTGTATCTTTGGTCCTGAACATGCTATGGTCTTGAATTTTTGGTGACAGATAGCTTTTCCTGTCAGGGATAAGTGGTGTGGGTTTGGTCCCCCTAACAGCTTGTTCAGGAACTGCAGGTGACTTTCGGGCGAAATCTTTAAAAGCCAATAAGTCCAGATAGGAACAGCGTATTTTCATCATTTTTGGTGTGTAGGTATCTGACAGAGAGATGTACATAATTAACTGCAAATTATGCAAATGAGGACTTTATTTGCATAATTAATGAGGAAATTCTATAATTACAGTGTTTTACATTATAGAACTTTCATACATGTAATGTATGTAACCTATGGCGGATGGAACATCAACAGATACTAATTATGCAAATGATGACCTAATTTGCATAATTAATGCAAAAAATCTATGATTTCTCAATGGTGAATGATGGGAATGTCATACTTGGGACATCTTTAAGTTAATCAAAAGTTAACATACATCACGATGCATATATCATGTTAATACAGAGGTCATTTGCGCAATTAAAGAAGAAATTTACATATCAAGCCAATATTTCATGGAGGTATGAGATCTCGGAACTCTTGTTACTACCTGTATACCACAGATGTTTGAAAGGTAATTGAAAACAAAACCGGCACGCTATAATCCCAGATCCGGTTTGGATAGGGTAAGTGGTAGTAATATCTCTAATCTTAACGTACAGTAAGTTGGACATACTATAAAAAAAATGAAATTCATCGTGGACATTTGTATGAATTGGGGCACACAGTGCCATGTTTATTGCGGTGACGACAATGTGCAGCAAACCTTACCTTGGCAATCGCTGTCAGAACTCGGAATATAATATGGATCATTCCATGTGCCGTCTGCTTCACACCGGACGGAGGTTTTGGAACTGTCTATTGTGTAGACCTCACGATAAATACCGGGGTAACAGAAGAAATGAAGCTCGTTTAGGTAGTAATTAGAGCCAGTCATGCCAATGTTGTCGGGAAGAGTCGGTAATGGACATTCCACGGCTGGAATATACGGGAAAATATTGCATGTATGAAATTGTAAAACTACATTTTGAATAACACCTAATCTCAACGTATCTATGCATAAAATGGCAGCCATAGGAATCTCTGAAATATCATGTTTTAATCAGAACAAGATCGATTTAATTACGGGTTAACGCTTAGAACACGAAATCGAAAATTTCAGACTTTTGATAAATAAGATACTTGGCTCCCTGTTGAATTCCCCATGTCGATCTCTGATTTCTGTTGGGCCAAGGTCAGATTCTGAGACCTTTGACCTCCTACCATTCTGCCTGCCAATCTTCCAACTTATATACTCACAGACTGACAACCTACTATATCTGGGCAAACTGATACACAAACCAACACGTAAGTCATCGATTACAAACCGTCCGCTGAAGTAATTACTAATTGGAACAAACTCTCCTTAAATACATCGAACCTATAAAGGTAACGTTTGCGAAGCAAATGCATTATGTTTACCTTCACATGACCCAATTTGCTCTGTTTATTCTTTATCAAACACATTCATATATATATATACATATATACATATATATATTTCATATATATGGTGACCCAACACCAGTTACCATGGTGAGAGACGTTTATGAGTCAGGTAATTGGCCTTATTTGTTTGGAGAAGAAGAGGAAAAATGTTCTGACACAATGTCTGGCATTGATATCAATTGGAATTTTTACCTGTACATCCGGTTCCGTCTAAGACTCCGTCCCCCTCATACCCATTCTGACATGTACACGTGGCGCCCGTCCCCGGAGCAGTGACGTCTTCACAGGTAGCTTTGGGGTGACACGGGTTCGGAGAGCAGCCATTAATGTCTGTAAGAAAAGCGACAGAGAAACCCTAATGTAGCTCTGTGGAGGCAAATGTTCCCCTGGGCTTCACTCGCTTGTGTCACCCCACAGTACTTTCTCAGGAAAGAGGCATCATACGCAAGTTTCACTGTGCCATGGTTAACACTTGTCAAATATGCACCCTTTATGGCTGCAAAACAGGTTCCCAGAGCTGTCTTGTCTTCTAATGCAAGAAAACCTCTTGAAGCAATAAAAAAAATGTCCCCCAAATCTCTTCGCGATATGTATCACATTCAAAAAGCTACGAGTATAAGGTAATATCCAGGCTGTATCCATTTGCCACGTGCACCGGTGGTGAAATAGTAACTGGTCTGGCAAATGCATACAGCCTGACCAACTTAACACCAGGGCAGCGTGACACCATATGCTTAAACTATAGTGTTCACCATTTAACTAGCTTATCTTTCTTTCAGTAAAAACAGTTTTTGTAGCTTGAAAACCCAAATCCCCAACTGACAGTTCTAAATAGAACCACACGTTCTACCTTCTCCAACAGCAGAAGGCGTTGGAAGATTCCATTGCTGCATGGTGGTATAGACTATTGGAGGGCAAAGGTCACCTTTTCCCGCAGGCGCAGAAGGTCCAGTCTGAGACCCAGTCTGACAGTTTGATTGAGTACAGCCAAACCAACTGAAAACAGCCTTTTTCTTGGTATGTGTGGATAAATGCTGGCAGAGTTATTTCTATTTCTATTAACTGGAGAAAACTGGTTGTTAGTGTTGTTTTGGCTGCTTGGTAGAGTTCTAAAACTAATCCCATCTTCTTGTCTTTTGGTGGTCTTCAAGGGGGTCAGAGGTCATGTTGCCAGTGTTTGCATTTGCCGTGCCATGTATCGCTGGTCAAAAAGTGAAATTTTTGGACTAAATGGACAATTTGGAAGTTGGACTACCCTGTCAATATGTGTTTGCAATAGTTGAACACTCAAGTAGGTGATTGTTGACACCTCAGTTTTTAGATGTTTTCTATATATTCCAATAAGGGCTGGAATTAGTGTCCCCTGACAGAACTTTAGGGAGGGGGGTCAGATTGACCATTGTAGCTTATATTTGCCTAAATTAGTTCTTTGGTTTAGGAGCAGGCTCCAGGTGACTCACCGGACTCAGATTTGCTACGAAATTCTTTGATTCAGTGTTTTTGACCATTTTTCTAAGATTTTGTAGCAAATATTGACAGTGCAGTATGTACTGTCCTTAAACAGCTTAATAGCCAAATCTAACATCTTTAAGATGCACCTTTAGGAGAAAAGGTACTCAGCTAATGCCAGGGCCAGCAAATTCTTACTTTTTCCTCTGTTTTTCTTACTTTCATCTTAGTAATATGGACCCCACTAATAGGCTTAGACCAGTGCCCTAGGCCAGGGAATGGGCCACCAACACCTGTTATCAAATGTATTCCCAGGGGACCATTTCTGATCAGAGATCTTTGACACTTGGCCTGAGAGTTTACAACCATTTCCCGGGTTATGCGAAAGTATTGAAGTCTGTCAGTTTTGAGCTTGAACCCCCTGGAAGACTTCACATTTTGGACAGGGGTGATTTAGGAACTATCCACTTGTCCGGAAGGGGAGAGGTCCATTTTTTGGTACGGGTGATGTGGTGAAGGCAGTTGCTACATTTGCTTCCGAGCAAATGTCGGCCTTTCGAGTTTTATAATGTTTCTCGGAAAATTTTGTGATTGCTTCAAATAGCGCAATGCCAACATATAAAGATTATACATATATATCTTGCAAACGCTATCGTAGTTGAGAGGTGATGATACCAAGTCTTACCTGTGCAGGTGGCAGCATTAGTCCACGTGCCGTCTGCCTGGCATATGATGTTTGTCTCACCTACAGACTCGTACCCTGAGTCACATCTGAAGCTGACCTCGTCCCCGTAGAGATTGTTGCCAGTCGATGTAATTGCACCGTTCGCAGGCTCTACCATCTGTGGGCACTGCACAACTGTAGCAAGAAATTGGGAAATTCATGAAGTATCCACTCCTCGGCTTCGACTACTATGGTGGGATCATGTGGCATGTGATCAATGGTTGGGTGTTTGACTCCGACGTTGTGCCCCTGGGAAAAACACGTTACATGACTTTCCTCACTTCGCTCAGGGGGAAATGAGTACCTAGCTTTTGTTAGGGAAGTCCCTCAGGATATCTGCGGATATAGGACGTTAATGGTGGTCCCGTGTCTGGGGAGAGCCACACCTCACGCACGTACAGCACGCCAACCTGACATCTTCAGAGAGAAACAAATGCTATTTATAACATACAATGACACACTTTGGGGATTTATAGTTCATGATTAATAATATATACATGACTAGGCCTTCCTTACACAAAATGGTCCAAGACGTAGGGAGCCACATTCAACTTCAGTTTCCTTGCGCGTTTGATGCGTAAAGGTTTCAAGCAGGCGGCGAGAGAGCCGAACACAAAGGATCAAAGACAATTTTTTCCATAACAAGACATCTTAATTTTGCAGGACACATACACAGCTATCCCGAAAATTCTCCTGCACCGCATACATGTACGACCATGATGCCCAGCACCACTCATCAGCTTACTCCCGAACCCACACATGCTATAGCTAATATCGTCGAGAAACCCGCCTGTTAAGATCGCAACACTGCAACGTTAACGCTCTGGAACCGGTAAATTCGTCTACAATGTCCCAAAGAAGAACCCTCCTCAGGGCCTGGCCATCATTAAGCTCTAGAACTCCCATGACATTGCAAGCTCAGGGACAGTCACAAATTCAAGACCTGTGTCAACCTCCACCTCAGTAATATCTGTCAGCGTCCGTGAGACAGCCATGGCACCATACATAGAAAAAATTCGCTCAATTTGAAATCGCAAGGCCACTCTTACCTGTGCAAGTGGGGGGATCAGCAACACTCCACGTGCCGTCTGCCTGGCATGTGGTGCTCGCCTCACCTCCCAGCTCATATCCCACGTCACAGGTAAAACTGACCACATCCCGGTAGTAATTGGAGCCCTCCTTTGCACCGTTTGCAGGAGCCGTTAGTAGCGGACACTGTGCAGCTGAAATATTAAGAAAGGCAGATTTATGATTAGACGTCACCCTAGCATCTAAGAGGAATCATCATATAGCCAGATGGCGTTGATGAAATCATTCCCATTAATACTGGAGCCCTATATCCTACGGAACCGAACAAATCGTCTACTCATACGGAAGGAGGCCGATGAGTGAACCCAACCAGCGGTGATTAAATCCCATAAACACCGTGTTGTCAACACTCCCACAAACACCGCAACCGACGCTGACGCCAAATGGAAGACGCGTTCTGTTAAATGACCCTTGGCGACCCCAAATGGAACATTGTACGCGATCATAAGTACATACAATATCAGATTGCACATGATAACTTTTTTTTTACAAAAGTTGATTAAAACAGTTATGTGCTATATGATAATAACGTTAATGACTCGCCTGTTTCTCGGTGTATATGGTGTGATAAGGCCTTGTTAGTTGCTATGACCACCATATAAAACCACTCATTCGCGGCGGTTACTCGGTGGTATCACTAGGTTGTTTTATTTGGTGCTAAAAGAAACTGACAAGGGCTTTATTGTATTACAACATATACACCTCGGGGTGAGTCATTGACTATTAAACCATTCTTGAAGGGAAACCACAAAAGTGACAAACATTTCCCCGTAATCTCCAGTATCAATCAAATTGAGAAGGTATCTATTGTGCGCTGTTGGCACAACGTATTCAACGGTGAAATGTATTCATGGGATTTTCTACTAACTTGCCGAGCCTTTACACACGGTGTAAACTATCCCGTCGCCAGGTTGTACGGCATCTGTTGTGTAGGTGAGACTCCACCGACTCTCAGTTATCCCTCGCTGACAGTAGTTAGTGGAACATCTGTAAAAGCCGAAACTCCTGTCCCTTGTTACAGTGGCTGATGGGAACGCCAGCTTCGCCACCTGAGCTACCCCGTCTGCCGGGTGACAGCCGAGCACGTCGTTGATGTTCGGGTCTGAGTTGTATTCATTCACGCACCTGGCAAGGTATTAACACATTCCCACAAAATATCTGAGTAAAAAGCATTCTGATGACTTAAAAAGTACATACATCTGATGTCGAAGAAATGAGACTTGCAGACATATTCATATTAGGTTTCAATGACGCACGTCTTTGCTGGAGACATTCTGAATTCCGGTGTGAGGAGTATCGTATATCCGGGTGGGGGTGGATATCGACTTACTACAACCTTTGACCCATTGCTGACGTCACGCGTGCTAGTACCCTAATTACACATTTAGTCGAGAATTTCGATGAGTCCATTTTTGGTTGTAGAGAAGTTTACCTTGTACATAGTGGATTCAAAAACACAGCTGAACTTTCATGCTAATGTTACACTCAATTTCTTTTCAGTCGAGTCCAACTTACGAAACACGTACCTCCAAATTTTCGATGTCAACTGTACATCTTATTCACGGAGTAACCTAGTCTCGCGAGAACACGAGACTAGATCAAGTCTTGTGGGGATCTTCTGGCCTCCCCGCCTCCTTGCGGAGTAGGGGTAAGTAGGACTTCGTGATCAAGATGTACAGTTGACATAAAAAAATGGGAGGTACGTGTTTTTACCTTTAAAAAAGAGTCACTGATAAAAGAATATAAAATTTATTCTACTAACTGATAATTCTACGTGACTGATGAACCTCTTCAATATTTACGTACTTTTATAATTATATGTACCTCTAGGGTTTGTTCTACCCCTCTACTAACGTTCTACCCCTCTTCGTACCCCTCTACTAGGATTTTTTTAATAAGACAAGGTTTTGCAGTTTTTTTTCAACGTCATTCTAGTTGTGAAAACAGAAGCCCGGAATCGAGCTCAATGGAGGACAAATCGGTTGCCTATGGTCCACATGGGGCCAAGGGCTCAAGTAACTATAGTAAGTAAGTAAGTAATTCTAGAACATTTGACAGATCTTACCGGCCAACATCGGCAACGCTGTCCATGAGCTCGTTCCCGCATCCAGTTGGTTTCAGGCCGTACTTTGCACATAGCAGCTTGTAGTCGTTACACCAGTTTTGGGAACCGGACTGGCCATCGGCAGGCAACCGCGCTTCGACGACGAAGAAGTCGATTTCTTGGTACGTTTGGTTTGCAATACGTAGAACTTCAAAGGCGTGGTTTTCTATTAAAAAATGTAATAAGTACCAATTAGAGAGAGGCAATTAAACACCTGCTCTAATAAAATACGTAGTTGAATGTATTTCAAATAGATATAGACATGGAGGCAGACCGGGTCTTGAGAAAAATAACACAGTGATGCCGAAGTATTGGAAAGATACATGTGGAATCTAAGAGAGTATGCCGCTCTCTGAATTTCGGTGATTCTCTTTTTAAAGATATTTTGGAGAGCTTTTTCTGACAAGAAAGTTTGGGATTTTAGTTGCTGGCAGTCTGATGTGAAAGTTTCCCAAACTAAATATTGCTATCACATGATGGAAATTTTTATGAAGTAGGCTTTTTCTATTTTAGCCCATCAGAAAAATATAGTTTACTTCTTTCCATATGGCCTTGACTTAATTTAGTTACACACAAACTAAAAATTAGGCTCTAAAGCTACTAACGTTATGGGGAAGAAATACTTTTTACACAATGTCAACAGCTACACCCTAAATAAAAAATCAAAACCTTGACAAATCCAGCAGATAACAGCAACCGTTCCGCTGCAGTAGGGAAAGCCACACAGGGTTCCCAAGATCGAAATCGGCGTTGGTCTTCAAAGCAGAAATAAGAAAAAAAAACAGCAAAGGCGCAAAGATTTCCCCTTATTGAAAAATATCGACCTCGAATACTTGCATTATGTATGCGCGCATTGCATGGTTGATTAGAAAAATAAGCTTGTTAATAGAACATATTTTTCTAACTGGACATGACCTGTAACACATGGACGTGACGTGTTCCTTCGAGAAGCAGAGGACAAGCTTAAATTGCTAAGTTGATATTAATGCACAACTGTGACCATAATGTAATGTAAATGGAGAAACAACCTGAAGATCCAAAATTAGAATTCCACGATCGCATACCTTTGCAAAATAATGTTAACTATTACGACTGAACTATTATAATTGCCATTGATTATGGATAGAAGGTCTGCATTTGGATAAATCAGTCGACAATCTTTCTATTCAAATAAAAGCTCTGTCCAAAGAATCGTATCGTATCAAAGAAGGCTATTGTTGTAGGTTACAACCAAAACCGTGATTACGAATCGGATGTGGATCTCGTTTTGGAATATAACATGATTCTGCATGTTGCGTGTTATTCCAAAACATGTTTTTGGGTGGACCACGTTAGGAAATACTGATGCCTTCCACCTCGTACATATTTCAAATCATGGTTCGGAATGGAAAAAGGTTTTGGAATGCACAATGTTCTAGCTAGGTGAAGTGTACAATATATGTACTCGGTTTGGCAGGTTTCCGACGACAAGGACTGCTTTAATGCTGTCATTGGCTCTTAATTCATATCAATTCGCAATGTAACAGGCTGTTACATAGTGACTTACTCAATCATCAGGCATATAAATAGCTGCCACTTAAGTACTCAAGTACTCACCGGGCACATATATTGTACCTAGGACAGCTTGAATCACTATTCTATACGTTTGTATCACTCCGCCACACATGGCTTGAGGAGATCAGAAGAAACTTGGAAGTCAGATTATCTCAAGTCATTGTCATAAAATAATAACAACAAACCCACCAACAGAACACAGGTGATTGACGGTCTGGGGACACGCGGTAATAGCAAGCCCGTCTAAGCGTGACTGCGGTACGGTATTTATAACCAGGCCGCGCCCGGGAGCGTCAGTTAACACAGCTATACAGGAGTTGCACGGTCTTAGGCTGCAGGAGGCCAATTTTTCAACTCCGGAGGTCCCAGGTATTTGCACTTTCCTTTGTGTTATTTAATAGTTGTGTTTTCTGTGTTTTTGTTTGTGTACGAGGAGATACGGATGGTTGTGAATGATATTTACTGACGGTGGTGGGGGGGGGGGTAGGGAAAGCAAATACGAAGGTCAAGTTGATAATGGCCGGCCGTTTTAGGTATTGCAGCGAAGATGTTGCAGCGTAGCGTTGAAGTTTAAGATAAATTGCAAGTGTCAGATCAATGATTTTTTGGTAGTGAAAAGCTGTTGGAGCTTACATTTGTAGATCAAATGGCGTGTTTTTGAGCCTCCTACCAGCTTGTTTCGAACTGTAGTGGGTGGCTTTGTTTTTAACTTTTGAAGCTGATTAACTCGACCCGTTGCAGATAAATTTTACTTTTTGAAAGGAAGGTACTGCAGCTAAAGATGTACAAAATGGAAATCAGCGTCTGATTATAATCTAATTAACAGAATTTATTTATGTAATTTTTTTTGAAGACTTCCAATATTTGTGGAAGGATTGGCATAACAGGTGAATTAAAATTAAATAGAGTTTTGTATAATTTTGTTAAACTATCTTGTCAAGGGCTGGATTTGTTTGTCCCTAGAACTGTGTAAATAGGTTGATGTTCAGTGTATTCCTTAAATGAATAAATACGGGAGGACAGCTGGCTGTGACATAAGGCAGATGTTGAGCGTCTTACGGCGAGAGTTAGAGCTTGATCATCGTTTATTGGAATTTCAAACAAGTGCAATAAGAAGCAGAATAAGAAACATGAATAGATAAGATGGTGTATTATATGTTTAAATACACTGAATGGTTGTGCATGATATTAAGCGAACGGGTAGCAAAGATAGGTAGGCCAGTGGATGAGCTTTCCCGACAGCATTTTTGTTGTATCGACGTAGCTGGTGTTTAATGCTATAAAGGGGGGGGGGGTGCCTTAACTTCGGACGTACCCTATCTTCGAATGAAATGTTTTAAATCTTATTATGCATAAGTTCCGCCGTGTTTGTTGCTATTAAAAAGTTAATAAACATAGTCAATGCATAAGGGTGTTATTTGCTTGCAAAGTAAACTTCTATATATTTTCTTATCGTATTGTCGAAAAACAGAATTTTGCCAAAAATATTTGTGTATGGCGCTGAAAAGAAGGTCAATGGCAATACGGCATTTGCTAAGCAGTCACATAACTGCTACATACATAAGAAAAGTAGAAATTTCGCTCTGGGTGTTTCTTCTGTAAAAACGGACCCATGAAAAACAACGTTAAGGCCCGGTCGAACTGGCCGAACTTTGCTGGAGCGTTCCTTGAGCGGTGAATAAAATTCATCACCGCTCGAAACCGTTCACCACCGTTAACAGAAGTTGGCCTCCGTTAAAGCAACGCCGTGTACGCCCGGCCACCGTTGATGTTTCTGGAGGGGCCCTCCTACCGCTCCGAAAGTTTTGAGCTGCACAAAATATTGCGAGCGGTGAGGAGGGGGCAATATAATTTTCCGCCCCGGTAAAGTTCACCCCCGCTCCACCAACGCCCAGTCAAAGTTTGGACATCGCTAGACGCAAGTTTGTGGACGCTTGAGTCCGCTAGGCCAACGCAGAAATCTTGAACGCTGGACCACCGCTGCTTCGCCAGCGTTGCCCGGGCGGCGATTAAACGTTGCACAAACTTCGCTGGAGCGGTTGCAAGCGTTTTACGAGCGGACACGGGGTTGCTGGAACGGTGTCGGACGTTGAAGCAGCGATTCATGTCGGCAATGAACTTTGGTTTGGCGTTAGTATAGAGGTGTCAGGTGCTCGTTCCATGAGTTCTGCGCTCCCCTATAATCAAGTTGACAATGAGATATCCATCAAATAAAAGCCATGGTTTCTAAAAAGCCGCTACAAATTTGACCACGAAGTTCCATGGTTGCATGGAGAGCGACCGTACGCGAAGGTAGAACGCGCTGGGCACAGCGTCTTCATATAACGAATTGAACATTTCCGGTCTTCTACTGTCGTGTAATCTACAATTTGAACCGCCATTAAACTGCGTATCAAGGAAAAGCCATGGTTTGTGGAGAATAAGCACATCATTTCTAAGAGGGCTGGTGAATTTTTTGCGCTTTTGACGGTGACGAAGACGAAAAGACGAACATTAACTTTTACGGTTTCTGCTCCGTGTTCCACCATAGAGCACACAGAGCGCCGTGGTCTGAATGGTGTTAATCTCGATCTGCGCTCTCTCTCATTAAAAACGGTATCAATCTAAGCTCAGTAAGATAATTCTTTCAATCAGTGACTATTAAATCCTAAGGTACATACCTCCGAATTTTCGACGACGACGACGATTTCGGAGGTATGTACCTTAGGATTTAATAGTCACTGATTGAAAGAATTATCTTACTGAACTTATACTATACGTGACTGATGAATCTCTTCAACGGTATCAATCTATATATCGATATCAAAGTAAAGCTCACATTTTAGGGAATCAGCACAAACAGTTTCAAGAGGGATCATCAGGGCTCAAAGCAACCGTACAAATGTGGCCGTAAAATTAGCAAATTTCAACGCACAACTACTACATCTTTAATTTATCTCTAACGAAAATTTTGTTAAAGCCTTGTTCTTTAGCATGCCAAAAGTTAAAAGGAAACACCGAGCCATTTGTTTTACCACGCGTGTAAACGTAAATGATGTTTTCACGGGGAAGCGCCCCATGTCAAAAGCGCGCTATCACAAAATAAGCTTGTTCTAGAGCATTCGACTAAACCGTGGTTAGGAGTAGATCGGCTGGCGTTTGACTGGGTCGGCTGGCGTTCGGCGAATTCGGCTATAGTTCGGCTGCGCCAGCCGAATGTTTCAAAATGTTTTATACATTCGTGGTGTTTGGGAGGTTCGAAAAAAGTTGGCGGGTTTTCGACCGTAAGCCAGCAAAATACCTGCCAACCATCCTGGATAAGTCAGCAGTGCCCAGGTCGTGTGCAGGTATCAAATTTTACAACAAATTTAACCCAAAATCAGTTTGAGTCATATATAAAAGGTAAGCGTGGCCTCTAAGTCTAGTCAAAGTGCTCCCGAACACCAGCCGACCTGTTCGGCTGTTGTTCGGGAAAGAATTCCTGGGAAGTTCGTGAATGTGTGACAAGGGCTTGACCGAACGCTTGTCAACCATGGTTATATCTACTAAGATCACAAAACCCACTAATTATGTAGAATGTGGGACTATTCATTATCCACTGCCTTCAAAGAAGAAGTCGAACCCCACAATAGCTAGCGTAGTAGTAGAAGTAGAAGTTTTTTCCAGACAGTTGTTACCTGTCTCCTGTTACTGTATTGCAATAAGTATTATACTTGATTGTAAAAGCAATTAGCCTTCGGGCATGATTTTGCGAATAAAGTTATATCAATGGACATTTCCGGTCGAACACTGTAAGCCCGCCCTCTGTTCTATTTCGAATATCTCGGTCAAAATCAGTGCGGGAAGGGCCGCGCAGGTCGCCGCCGCCAGAATGTCGGTTTTGCAGCTCAACTTTCGGGACGAGATTTCGGCAGCGAAAAACTCTCTCAACAGCCCCAAAAAGGGTTACGCTATCTTCGTTGAAGTACACATCCACAGAGTAAAACATATTTGAGGAGGCCTAGGGGACAGGGTTAGTTTAATGAGGGCAAACTGTTTTCACTCAATGCGGACGCGGGATGCGCCGAATAACATCACACGATGGGCTGACAAGAGTGCCCAGTTGCTGACAAATAGCCAATGCATGTGTTGCGCAGAGTATGTTTATCTGTGACAGGTTTTCCAAGGCATTTGCTGCATGCATCGCAGCTACATACAAGCCAGGAAAAAATCGAAATGAGAAAAAACAGCTAGGGTGGTCACGAGGAAGGGCGCAACTTATAAAGGGTTTTGTGATACAAGTAGAAACATATATAAGCACACAACCATGGAAATAAACAATAATTAGGGCTTCATAAAGAAATACAAGAATGAGAAAACGTCTTTGGTTTACTTGAAACTGCCTCCGATGTCACAAATTCAATTTCACCCATCAAAGCAAGGAGTATTCATTAAGTAGACATCAACTCATTTTCCTGCTCTCAGGTTTTTCGCGCTGATTTTAATTTGACCGAGTTGTTCGAAAAAGAACAGGGGGTTTGACGTGTTCGATCAGGAAAGGTCCATTAGGAGTGGGCTGGTTCGGCTGGCGTTTGGCTGGCGTTAGGCGAATTTAGCTACGGTTCGGCTGCGCAAGCTGGATGTTTTAAAATGTTTCAAACATTCGGGGGTGTTCTGGAGGGTTGGCTGGCGTTCGTCTGGTGTCCGGGAGTAGGCCAGCAGAGTTCGAGACGTGTTCGGGGGTTAAATTCGGATACGAAGTGCCCCAACCTGCAGAGGAATTACTCCTAACCCTCTGCAAACCATGCCGGATGCTTCTATCCAGAGCGTGTGCCAAACGCTCTGAATTACAGAGAAACACTAGCTGGCCATCAACGGAACACCGAACACCAGCTGCCCACGAGCCGACCCCGAGACTCGCCAACCCCCAAAAGGCCATAGATGAACGAGGACTCTGCCAAAAAGTAAGACATTTGCTCTTCACAACTTTTCGAAACTGCTCTTTCCGTTTGGTTACTAATTTCTTTTTTTATCATTAGTATTTTTCGATTGCCCCAAAACATAATGGTATTTGATACACTGATTTTCTTCCTGATGTAAAAATGGTGGTGGCAGCGTTAAATGTCTTTGACCAATCGTCTCAACTTCCTTAGTTTTAGTTATACGTATACGTTAAGATAACATAAACAAATACGATAAGGCCACACTGACTTAATTTCATAGATAAAATCCTCTGAAGATCCTCAAACTAGTGCGCTCGGGAGAATTCCAGCCAAAAGATTAAATGCCGCTAAAGCACAGGAATACAATGTGTGTGTGTGTGTGTGTGTGTGTGTGTGTGTTTGTGTGTGTGAGTGTGTGTGTGTGTGTGTGTGTGTGTGTGTGTGTGTGTGTGTGTGTGTGTGTGTGTTTGCGCGCTCGCGAGCGTGTGTTTGTGTGTGCGCGCCCGCGTGTAGACGTGGCAGTATCATTTTGAAGGATTGAAAAGGATTGTTGGTGACATCAAACACAAAGCCATTTTTTACAATCTAATCATCCTTTCCCCATCAAGTAAGAAAACTATTAAAGATATGTAATCATGAATTCCTGACCTTGAGCCGTTGTTGTAGCTGCCATGATGAGCAGAAAGGCTGTGAACACAGACGCCAGGACTGCCTCTGTCTTCATGGTTGGCTCCTTCACTCCGCCTGCAACTGAGACCCTCTTGCGTCCAGATTCTTCTAGGCGAAATAGCGATTCGGAACAATCACAATCTCTGCCAGAAAAATGTGAGAGACCAATGTTATACACTGCACGAAATGCGGCGACTTTAGAGAAAAAAATCAGACTTAACACTTCACTCTATCCCGTAATCAGACCTAAAACTCCTGTCGCACAGTCACGATTTTGGCCACCAGAACACGAGGCGAAAGCCCCGCAACGATAAGAAGGTGTAGGTCCCGGAAAGTCCGGCGAATTCGACTACTTTTCGGCTACGTCTCAAAATGTTAAAAACATTCTGGAGTCAGTCGCTAGGTTCGATCATGGTTGGCTGGTGTGCGTCTGTAAATCAGCAGGACACCAGCCAACCATTCGGGAGTAAGTCAGCAGTGTTCGGGGCGTGTTCAGCGGTGAAATCTGACTTAGGTTTAACTAAAATTCATTTCGACTCGTCTATAATTCCGGCAGTCCACGGGGACATTTTTTTAAAATCAGTGATCAGCTGTATTGTACGGAACAAAATTTCCTGAGTGTCTGTCGGATCAGCTCAGCGAATCAGGACTTCACTGTAAAGCCCTTGTCAACATTCACGACCTTCCACCGAATTTGTTCCCGAACACCAGCCGACCAAGTTAGGCCTACGTTTAGGAGCGCTTTGACCAGATTTAGGCCACTCCTATATAAGTCAAAGCTACCTTGAGTTACATATGAGTCAAATTTGACCCAAGCAAACGTCCCCAACGCTGCCGACTTACTTTCAAATCATCAGTTGGCTGGTTTTCTGCTGACTTACGCCTTTTGCATAAATAAGCCACAAATTTTTATATTTTTATTGCTGATGGTGATTGGGTCAAAGCCCTATCAAATGGCGCAAACCGCACCCTTCTATGACTTAAAAGTAAAAAAAAAATCAATTTTAAGGCCTTGGGACAATTTGAAAGTAGCCTAAAGTAACTATGGGGTTAAAAATGCTCTGGAAAGCATGTTTGAGACAATTTTTGCCGATGTCGCAGGCAGGTCCAATTTTCAGGACATACAGAAGTTGACAAAATTCACCACGTTCTACATTTGGTGGTGTAGTAGCCGAATTTGCCCAACACCTCTGGGAAAATACACACACACACACACACACACACACACACACACACACACACACACACACACACACACACACACACACACACACACACACACACACACACTCAAAAGAAATTAAGTGTACGAAGTGCAAAAACTACATTAAGATGATAGTGTCAGGATAAGACCGCGGGCCTAAGGTGCAGAAGGGTATATCATCTATAAGCACAAAAAGTAAAAAAAAAAGAAAATAAAGAAACACAAAATGTTGAAAGGAAATGAAATGAAGTTACCTGATTATTTCTGTAGACGTCCTGTAGGCAGAAATTGAAAAACATCAGGTAGAATCTTGTTGGGCCCCCAAACTGCACACTGTCAATTGTCCAATAGTGAGTGGAAGAGTTCAAGTTGTCGTCGCCAGATATGCTGTTAAGCATCCTCTATCTCTCTCTTTTGTAGCTTTAATAATCATATTATTTTCGCATATCAAAATTAAGACTGCCAACCAATCATGATTCGTTGCCACCAATACGTAACTTCTAGATTGGCATGAGCCGCTTGTTGTATCATGCAGCAAAAATACGTCATTGTACTAAACGTAAAGTTCGTCCAATTATAAGTTCGATACGGAGAGTTTGACAATAGCGAATACTCTCATTATCATAAATTAGCCAAAGAAAAAGGAGGGAGGAAATGAAGGGAGAAGGAGAGAGAAAGCGTAAGCGGAGAGTAAGGAAGTGTGCCTTTATTGGTAAAAGTCATAAAGACATATACACAGACGAAGAATTGAGTTAACAATAGTATTCATTTTTTAACTTGAGTATTACAGGGTATAGGAGTGGCATCGGATGATCTTCGTAAGGCGTCGACACCAACGCGCCTGTTTTCGCCTATTGCGCATGCCTGAGTCCAAGGGTGTGTTCTATACATGTCCTATAACCAACTTCAGACAGTCCTTTCCTCATTATTTACAGTTCAGTTCCTTAATTTAAATTATCAAGAAAAAGTCATGCCTTCAAGTACCATTGTTATCAACCAAGGATTGAGGTGTTCAAAAACTCATTCTTTACTAGAATAATCGCAGAGTGGAACTCGCTGTCACCAAGTACAGTAGGCGCATTATCATTAGATAGCTTTAAACAATGGTTAGAGTTATATGTCCAGGGGTTGGGTGTAACACGTCGTTCGGTGTAATGTAGCCAGCTGCCGCCGCGCCGCGTGTGTTACGCCGAAGGGCGGTTATACCGACTATACCGTAACAGAATCTGATACAGAAAACGTTTGACATTATTATAGTTTTTTACGACTTGGAAACCTCATGTACTGTATTTCTGGGATTTTACAATGTTCTGAGCAAAACTGAGGCATAAATTGTCCCCTTTCAACAGGACAATAATGTTCAGGTCAGATTCGTCGGTGGCGCAATCCAGAATGATACACTGCTAATTAGGCACTGAGCAGTTTATCCTACCCTAAGCCTGAAAAGCAATTTTAACTTGCATCCATGTAAGTAAGTAGTCAAACATCTAAGTGAAGAGACAAAGAAATCAACTTGACCAATTGCCAGTGCACGCACAGCCGAAGTAAATTTTTAACCAGTTTGCTAAAAAACAAAGTAGGTATTTATGTATTATATAAAATGTATTTTTAAGTCTATGACTGTAATATTGTTGCTGATTTTATCGTCCCGTCAAGTTCTTTTATTACCATATAGAAGACTAATTGACTAATAATTTTACAAAGTCACAATGTGTTGGTCATAGTTTTAGATTACAGCATTGTGCAACATGTAGTTATATTTCCTTTATGTAGGAACACACAATTCAGCCTGTGGACTGCGACTTGTTCACTTGAAAGAAACCAAACTAGACACACGAAAAGAAGTATAACTCTTAAATAGATATGATCAATTTTTGGTAAATCTGTTGAACTTGATCGAATGAAACATCCCTTTGTAGTCTTGTTAAACTGATGAGTTCCTACATATATATTTTTTGTATTTTGTCAAATTTCTTGATGCAGACTTAGAATTCTTTTCCTTACCGTTTGGAGACCTGTCTAGTGCGTAGATTAATGATAGCATGCTAAAAGGTAAAAAGCAACGTCTGCTAACAGACTATATATAACTGCATAATGACTGTCTAATCCCTGGTGTCATCTGCCGTGTATTGTACCTGGCTCATTACTATCATTATTCCCGACACGCACGTTGACTTGGATGACGATTAATGACCGTATATAACAATGCCTTTGTCACCCCTGAGAAAAGTGTGTCATAAACTCAAAGTTCACATTCAAACGCGTTCTATTTTTAAAAAATTACATGCTGTTTTGACAGGAAGACCTTTGTGTGAGGCGATAGAAAGTTTTTTATTCTGAAATATTGATAAGATATTACGTAAGTCGTAATAATGGATCTATAACAGTCTATTTTTTTTAAATTACATGGTGTTTTAACAGGAAGACCTTTGCGTGAGGCGAGAGAAAGTTTTTTTAATTCTGAAATATTGATAAGATATTACGTAAGTTGTAATAATGGGTCTATAACAGTCAATTTATCATCACAGGAACTTCTTTCGTCGGATCTTTGGGCGGAAGCTTTGTGTTCTGCAATATTCATAAGCCGTTCAAAGTTTGTTAAAGCATTTGCGTCATTGCTGAGTCTAGCAATTTTCATCTATTACAGGTATGACAGTTTACGATTGAAAAGATTATATCATTAATCAAGTGCCATCAATGTATTATAGGTGCTTGAAGTTAGAGAGTAAAAGTTGAATATGATTTTAACTCCATGAAGGAGGTCAGTAACCTCCACAGGAGTATTGTTACTTCGTGAAGCAGGCCAGTGACCTCCCGGACGGAGTCTTGTAATCCGATGTCTCTGTTCATGTTCTCAGCTGTAGCTCACGACCCTTTTAGCATTTTTTAGACGAAACCGCCGGGATCGCGATTCGGGTAATTCACATGTATGTGTCACATGTTTGAAAAAAAACTTTAAAAGTTTAAAAAGAAATTCCATTTGTAAGGTAAAGTTGAACATTATACGACAACTTACAAATCATGTACATACTTTTTAGCATATATAATGGCAACTGCCACAATAGCCTTCTTTGCTAAGATGAGACTTTATACATGAACAACTAGTTTTTGTCTGAGGTCTGTGTCTTCGCACTTAGTTTTAAAAGCAAGCTTGATATATCTGTCAGCAATTTGTCATGTCAGTAGTTTTAAAAAGAGGGCATCAAACACCTTTGCCACATCACAACCACTGTATTGTGTGGTTCGACTCTTTGTCAATGCAACATTGCGAATATTTTCTCCCGTCATGCCAATGTTTTTGTTGGTTTATCAAATAAAATTGGTGTTTTTAAAATGAGTTTTTTTCATATGAAACGTCAACTAAAACATGCATCCTATGATATACATATTTTGATGTGGCCTAACAATAATGAAAACGATCATAACATATTGTAGTTTTAAGTCAATGAACAGTTTAAACGTAAGTATTTGTTCTTAGCCGTAAATAAAAATTGTAATTGAGCAGTATATCATGAACTGTGACTGAAAAACTAAATCAGTGTATCTCTTTACAGTTTTACCCATCTTCATCGGCTTTTTTATTTGTTCCTAAGTTGTTTAAGCCCGTTGAACTACAGATTCTTTGTTGAACTGCATTCAAGATTGCAGTCATCAATCAGACTGCTAATATAAGGAAAGATTAGATGACTTTTATTAGCAAATTTAATAATAGACTTACATCACTGAATTGCGTCTGAAATACCTTGCTAATTTACATCAGGTACATATTCACACTATGTTGTAGATATCCTTCTTGATTGACATTGAAAGCAAAAACAACAACGTTAAAAAATAAGAAAAAAACAACAACGTTAAACAACAGCTATCAGAAAAAAAACTGTGTATTGGACAATATAAAGTACATGTACAGGCTAAAAATGTTGGATCATCTTAGCTCAACTCAGAGTTCTGCTTGTAAAAAATATTGAAAATGCATATTGGAGAAAGATTATTAAGTTTGAAATGTACATGAGCTAATTACTGAGTTGCTTTCCTATTGTGTACATGTGTCGAATACCACAACAAGATATTCTTATGGATGACATCAGCGAGTGCATTGATTTTCGCCTTATTTTGGAAGAAAAAAACATGAACTTTGCTGCCCTATTAAAGTGGACAGCATGCCATGAAAATGGGCAAAGATGTCTGTTGCCATGTCGGAATATGGATAACTACGATGAGAGAAAACAAGACAAGGCTCTGATTTATTGTTTTGTCTTTTACTTTGTAGATGCAGTGATGTACTTTCTATGCGATAGTGGCTGTGTATACGCGATGTTCCCATTGAATAAAAACCATTTGTACAATGATTGAAAGCGCTTATTTTTCAGAGTTGTTTCAGTGAGAAATGGATGCTGTAATAGTTGGCAGTCATCCATAAAATGTACATGTTGTGGCCTAGTGACCGAGCATGGTTCTCTGGACCTCTCTTTTCTGGAGTAAATAATGATTAATTATATCATGTAACTATATTTCCTGCCTTTCTAAGCGATGACAGAAACACAAAATTCACATTTAAACGTATAAATTTATTCAAAAGATTCTGACAGAAAATCATTTGAGTGCCATTTTTTACATTCTGAAAAATTCATAAGGTGTCACCCGGATAGTGGACGCACGTTACCATTTGCGTCAATGGCAGTGATAGTCTATAGAACTTTACGTAAATATGTTCACGTGACTAGCTAACTATCATAGTTATGTAACAGGTGAATGGAAACCAAGCAGATGTTAGGCGTATACTATGGCAATGCACATAATTTACATCAAATCAGCTTCAAATGTCTGGAAGTTCATTCCCCGTCTTTTGTGACAAACAGGTTTACCCGACGGCAAAGAAGCAGATCAGAGAAGACATCTATACAAGGTTATTGGTAATGTAATAGACACACACTGCATATTGATAATACACGTCCCATTGTTTTGGGGAATGTGCCCATTTACAAGATTGAATCAGAAAGATATCATTAGTCACATTCTCATTAGTCTGTTATTCTAACTGTTTTCAAAAGATGTATGTTTGCCCTTCTAAAGAAGCAGTTCGGTAAAATACAAATAACTTACAGTATGTCTGTGAGAAACTTGGTAAATAGACCGACTTCTATTTACAATCAGCTTACTGTACTGCTATCTATCTGTATTGTTATCTACCTGCATTATAGAGAGTAGCTTTGCAAAGATTATACCAGTATCCAAAGATTATATCACTATCCATGTCACAATTTGGAGAAAGAAGCCCTCATTACTTACGTCCTAACGAAGATTGGGAAAAAAGGCCTAGAAACAAGCTTGTTTATTGCTTAAGGAACAATTTGTTGTTAGTATTCTTCATTCTAATTCGAACATACACATCTGAAACCATTGTTATTTGTATGACACGGCTGTCACCAAACCGCGCACAGCAAACATCTATGGTTAGTATTCTTGCACCAACGTGTAAAGTTCCAATAGGTAAAGCTCACGCCACTATTTCTGCCAGATCTGGGCTGACTTCTTCCAGGACTTTCCTGAACACCTGACGTGCAGTCACGCCCTTCCGACCAACGATGTCTAACAGTTCTCTTGCTTTGTCATGGGATGTCCTCTTTGCCCTGATGATGTCACATTCCTCTTCACTGAGGTGGCCACGTGACAGGAGATGGTTCAGGATTGTTTCTAGGACGTAGGATGACGTCAGGTCCCGGACCAGCTCTGGGCGGTTCTTGACGAGCGGGTCGTCTTCTTCACGCAGCAGGTCACCGGCGCCATTTTGGATCATTGCAGCAGCATGCGGGTTTACCTCTTCCAGCACTGCCTTAAATTCGCGACATGCAAGCTCGCCCTTTCTTTCTACGATGTTCAACAGTTCCCTTGCCTTGTCCTGGGGGGTTTCCTTGGCCTTGATACGGTCGGGTTCGTCGGCACCGAGAATGCCACATGCCAAGAGACGGTCCAGGATTGGCTCCACGTGCCTCAAGGCCTGGACCAGCTCTGGGCGGTTCATGGTAAGAGGATTCTCCTCCTCCTCTCTACAAAGCAGATCACTGACCTGTTCCGTGAGCCCGAGGATGGAATGGACGATTGTACCGCCCTCTGCTGCTGCCTTTCTGATCTCCTCACTGCCATACGAGTAGAATTCCTCCCTGTGTTCCTTGAGTGCACGAGCGCTAAGGAACTTCTCTTCTGTGCCTGTTCCCGGGCTGCACTCATCCAACACATCAGCGATGATGTTCTCCAGCTGCTGCAGCATCTTGCCGCACTGCACCTTGTCACCCTGCGCACTCCGGACACAGATGTTGACAGCACGGCCGTCCGGAGAGAGTTTAATTAGACCTTCCACATTCCTATCCACACACTTGGCGCCATCTCTCCACAGCAGCGGGCGATTCTCGAACCCGGAGGAGAACCCGGAGGAGAACATGTCGGTGGTGTCGGCGCAATGAAACTGCTTCCCAAAGTAGATCACCTTTGGCTCTTGAGTTAGTCGCCAAGCCTGACCAGGCATGGTTTGTGTAAGCAGCCCTGGGAAGATAAAGGTCTGTCCGTCATAGGAGTGGCAGAGCTGGAACTCTTGCAGCAGGGTGATGAGAAGATCCACATCAGCAACGTCTTGGAAGACGCGCTGGATCTCCTCCCGGGTGACGTAGTCTTCGCTTGTTCTCTCCGGGCGGGGAATGGGGAAGTTGACTGGTGCCATCATTGGACCGATGACGTCTGTGCAGAGCCAGTTGGGCTTCAGAACAATGATGGGTTCAGAAGCAGTCGGACATTTGAAGATGATCTGTAAGACAATCTTAGCATATTGAGTCACACAGTACATATATATGCTTGTATCGGATGGCAATTCGTGGTTGTGGGTTTCGTACTCATCATTACAGTATAACTTACAATATCAACATCAACATAGAGTATAACATACAACATCAACATTATCAATATATAATGGATTGCTTTTTCGTACTAAGTATCTGTTTTAGAAACTTTCACAAGGGGGGGTGGGCAGCTTACCTCCCCCAGATGGTCCAGAAACCGTGTAGACTCCCGCAGGAAGTCCTCATCCACATGTGGGTCAATCTCTTTGACTGCGTCCACGTAGCTTGGCCACCTCAGTACAGGACACTTCGGGCTGCACTTCGTCTGGCACCAGATGGGCAGCCGCTTGATGATTATGTTGCACAGTTTGGGCATCTGGCGTTGGTGCTATTAAAATTACAAAATATTCAACGGGTAAATCCTTGTCAATATACAACCTTTTGAACCATTATTACACACACACATAAAAAATTGCTGAAAAATCTCTTATTGCACAGACTTACCTCTAACATGGCCGTCTTCATCTTAGCCAGCAGCTTCTTGAGTCGGTCCATCTCAGGTGTTCGCGTCTCCTTACAGTTCATCAGGAAGACTTCGTCTGAGATACGGAGCTGATCTTTAAACTCCGCTTTCATCAACTGCAGGAGGTGAGCAGCTTGGCGTTGTCCTGGCAGTTATGAGCAAAGAGAAAGTTAGATAAGGCTTCTTTGTGTCAAATTCACGCTGATCATGGAATGGCATGTAATATATGTCTGTACCTATAGCCAATATGCGTAATCTTTTGAACGTTCCATCCTTTCCCTTTTTATATTATGCTGTATATATATCTTTATACATATAAGGGGAGAACATTTGTCAGCGGAGTCTGTTCCATGGACTGAGTCGCCGGCCTACGATCCGTATTCCCGTAGGAAGGCATTGTGGATGGTTCCTACTTACCACTTGTGAGTGAAACTTTGTCGGCATGACTGGCCACTAAGATGACGTCGCGCTGACGGTTTCGGTTGCAGGATTTGATGAAGCTCAGCCACCGGTGGACCTGGAGCCGAACAATTAAAAACTAATTTACATGACAGCCAAGACCTGCTATGAAAAAACAAAGATAAAATCCCGAAATGTACAGACTTGAAAGACAAAGGATTTTTCTGTAGTTTTATGCTCAGGGGTTGTTTACGTCTTGCTCTTGGGTGTCGTCCATGATGTTGTACAGCACAATGGAGATGGTGTTCTCTGCATCCATGAACATACTGTGGGTTACCGCGTACTCCGACTGCCCAGCAAAATCCCACACGCTGACCTCCCCCACCCCTGGAATATGGAACGTTCCAACATCCACCCCTGGGGTGGGGTCGTGAGGCTCCTCGGCTGACGAAGATTTTCTCAGTCCTTGGAGAAGTGCTGGGACGGTGCCCTAATGGGCAAAACGTGTTATTTAGGTTTTGACATATTGTACTCTCTCTGTTAAGGAACCTATCATATATTGCTTGTGTGTGGATCTTACAGCGAGTTAGATAAGAGGCAAGTAAGAATCTACTTACCCTCTTAAGACTTATCTTGAGTGTGGACTTTCCCGTTTTCGCTATCCCAAAGAAGAACACCTTACACCTGTCGGTCTTCACTCCGCCAGACTTCTGCAGCAACTCGTGGTACAACTTCTCTTTGATCAGTTCCGCTCCCCGATTCTTGTGGGAGATATAATAACGAAAGACAGTGTTATAAACCCGTAAAATCGGCCATCTTGATCGACAGGTTTGAGCAATAACACCGAAATATTTCAATATAGTCCCAACCTACGTACCAACAGTTACATCCTGATTAACCCAAAACGCAGAGAGGTGGAGACATCTATTTCAGTAATAGATCAACAATGATATTGTTCACCTTAAGGAAACGCCGAATGTCCTTGTCGTCTGCTACCTGAGAAGGTGTCCGTCCTTCCTTCACAGGGAAACATCAGAAATGTGTTACTCTTCATGTGGAATCAAATAATGGAATTAAATACATCAAGTTTAACAATGACACCGAGACTTGACTTCTTTTGGTGCGACTTTTAAACAGCTGATACTTTTGCGACTGTTCTAAGTTGTACTCTCCCCGTCCTAACTTCTGGACTGATAATTACCTTCGCCAAGAAGGTTATGTTTTCAGAGGCGTTCGTGTGTGTGTCTGTGTGTCTGTAAACACGACAACTCGAGAAGGCTTAAATTGATTGTCTTGATACTTGGAAGGTGGGTAGGTCTTGATGAGACCTCAAAATGATTAGATTTTGGGCCCCCTGGTGGCTTGTCATGGTACTGCAGCTGAACTTTCGGTTTTGATATCTCATGACCCAGACATGCTAGGGTCACGAAATTTGTATGATAGGTAGTTCTTGGGCTGGGGAAGAAGTGACGTAGGTCTGGGTCACTTAGCGGCTTGCTCTGAAACTGCAGGGGCGTTTATTTAAAAAAATATCCAAAAGAGGATAACTCAGGAATGACGGATCGTCATGATTTTCGGTATGTAGGTGGCTTAAGTGGCGCTTGATACTTATGCGACAATTATGCAAATCTGAATGTAATTTGCATAATTTATGAGCGAATTCTATAAATCAGCTGCATTACATTATAGGGCTATTTAAGCTTGTGATATATGTAATTGAGAACAAGAGAAACACAGGCAGATATTGAAGATCCTGTTTGCTTAATCATGAAGAGTAATCGTTACTTTGTCAGTCATAAAGATTAACATCATTTGGCGGAGGTATTAGATTCTAGTTATTCATAGTTAAATTCATAGTATTCATAGTGGAATTCTAGTTACTCATGTTTCTGGTGTGGGTCCGTTAGTCCGCCATTCCGCAGTACACAACAACTACGCAGGTAAGAGCAGCAGCGACTTGCTATTTCACACTGAAATACCCGTGGCACCCAAACCACGCATAGTAAAGTGTTATGCCTGACTAACTTCTTTCATTGAAATTGGTATATACTTGTACCATGCAACCCCTGATTTAGAACTGCATTTTGATATATTTCGTTCACTGTTTCATGTATGTGAACAAATTCCAGCTGAGTGCACAAGCATTTCCCTTCATAAATGACATAAGTGTGTAGCTGTTCATAGGTCCAATACATTATCATCAAGTTTACATCCATGTCCATGCATGTGTGTATTACCCTATCCCTGGCTGTCACGTCTGCCCCATGGCGGATTAGAAGCTCACAAGTGTCGGTGTGGCCCTCAGTAGCAGCCTTATGCAGGGGTGTGTCCTTGGCCTGTACAGAGGGAAGCTTCGGGTCAGCAGGGATGGGAACTGACGTACACATACATTGCCTATTACTTAACTTTTCTCCAACTCAAAATTTGACTCACCAGAAATTTTCGACTGAATCACTCAGTCTTCCTCTTCCCAAATGCTGTGGACACGTGATTTTTCCCACGTGTGACGTCAGCAAAGGGTCAAAGGTTGTCTGTAGTCGATATCACCCCCCGTCCCGGTTGAGTCCCGGTTCATAATGTAATATACCAACTCAGATGAACTTTCATGCTGACATACATTGCTGCTTATCACCAAAAAGTTCCTGAAACTTGAAACTTCTTCTATAAACCCTTCATAGCTGATAAGGTATATTCTGCACATTGTATTAATTTCATGCCACAAATATACTAGGTTAATTGTTCACTTGTTACCTTATATATATCTATGCGGTACTTCATGAACGTTAACCTGTTTATGTTATTGTCTCTTTCTCTGTTTCACATCTATGTAATCTGTAAGGTCTGTTTAAAACAAGGGTTTATATTACCCCATTCCTGGCCATCACGTCTGCCCCGTGACGGATCAGAAGCTCACAAGTCTCGGTGCGGCCCCAGAGAGCAGCCCAATGTAAAGGTGTGTCCTGGACCTGTACAGAGAGAAAGGTTAGAGTCAGGATGGGAAGTGACGTACACGTACATTTTCGCTCATCATTTTCTGGTGAAGTTTACTCTTTGATAGAGGCTAATGTATTGATAGGTTTGTGCATGTCCAGGTTCGTGCGATAATTCAGCACAAAAACGTTTCCTGGCTTCACGTTCCCGCCAGACTCGCCAAGTTCTTTCCAACACTGGTATAATCAGAATCTTTTTAATAAGCCAGCATAACCATAACCGCGCCATTCGGCGTTACAAATCAGCTTATGCTTCGGTCCCAATTGAAAAAAGGGGCCCTGCCGGGTAGTCTCCGGGCTGTTTTTTTACACTTTCGGGCGTGACCCGTACGTGGCCCCGCGGGACACCCCGCGGCTACTGGGCTAATTTTGGGCCCGGCGGGGACCCGAGAAGAATTTAATTCTGACTTAATTCTATCCGAGCCCCGCTGACAAGAAGACGCCGTGACCTCATCGTGAGAACACCGAGAGGTACCCCTCCGGTTGCCGGCAGTCCACCGGGACACATTTGTTACGTCACAGACCAGAAAAAAAAACAGAATAAAGGTGTGTACTTCGTAAACCCGGGTAAAATGTATGACGTCACAGATCAAATGATCACAACAAAAGCGTGAATTCTGCATTACGTATAGGTCAGTACAAGACATCGTCAGAGAATCTGCTGGGTACCTGCCGGGTGCCTGCCGGAGACCGACCAAAGAGGGTGACAATTTTTTTTAACAAAATGCTATTGAAGGAAACTTTTAATTGTGACCACGACAGCCGATGTCCGCACGACCGGGGACGGCCGGGGCTACATCCCCGACGGACACCGGCGCAATTGGGACCGAAGCTTTAGCAAGCACGCCGCTGGTTATGTCGCAGCGGGTGAGGTCGCACCTAAACCACGTATAGTTACTGTATAATGTGATATACTGTACAGTACATTTGTGTAATAACTTGTTGTATTTACCTATTATGAAGTTTGTATTTACCGACAACTAGAACAGAATTGGGCATGTTTAGGACTGTTTGTCACGAAAAAGAACATCCTAGATTGATTCCACAGGCGACTTTGATTTTTTTGTCTCTCAAAGGAACAAATGTGTAATTTAGACTTGTAGTCAATGATATCGATGCATTTTTTTACAAGTTCACATCCATGTAATTTGTAGGGTTCATTTAAATCAAGTGTGTATTACCTGATCCCTGGCCGTCACGTCTGCCCCATGACGAATCAGAAGTTCACAAGTCCTGGTGTGGCCCCGCCAAGCAGCCCAATGCAGAGATGTGAGCTGGTCCTGTACAGGGAGGAAAGTCAGGACAATACGAAACTCATTTTCACCTGAGTTTGTGAGGAAAGTCGTGTAAAGTGCCTTTCCGATCGGTGGCATGTTCGGACTCGAACCCGGGACCGCGACCCCACACTGCTATATTTCTTAATCCCAGTAAAATTCATGTAGGATGAATGAAGATGTGTCAGAAGGTGGAAACAAGAAAAGGCGGCATGGATTAATGCCTAGAATTGTATGCTGATCTTATAAAATCAGCAGTTAAGGAGACAAGTTACTTTTCTTCTACGGACGCCGTGTTATCTTCCAAAGTGTGATTCCCACATTACAAGAACCCCCGGGAAGTCACAAACATGCCGCGGATATTCGGAACTGAAGTTCGGTGGTTCGGAAATGAAGACGACCGTTCGGGAAGGCGACGACCGTTTTGCGTAGGCGCGTGACAGGACAAATTTTATGTGTGCAGTAGAAAGTTGTGGGCACAACTTTTACTTTTTAAACTTCACATGGCACCTACTCATTCCATGTGTTTTTATCTGACCCAGACTGAGTGGAGAAACTTGACAAGGAAACTACGAGTCACCCTATCAGGATTCTGGTCAGGAGAAGTCAGGACTGAGTTATTTCTACCGACCTGGTCCCTCGCCTTCAGATCGGCACCGTGTTCGATCAGCAATTTCGCCACTTCGGTCTTCCCGTACCAGCTGGCCACATGCAGGGATGTCTGCTCATACTGCATAGAACAAAACAGTTTGGAAGATAACCGATTACAACGCAGCTGTATAAGCCGTGCATTTACTAAAAATGACACATCTCGAAAGCTTACCGAAAGAATACATGCAGGATGATATCTAGTGCTGTTAGTCCTGTCCATCCCTTTTACAGAGCAATTTCACACCTTTAGTTTTGTTGTCGAAAACAGTTTACAACAGTTTCCGATCATTGAAACAATGGGTGTTCATCATGTTCTGCTTTTTTCAAGTAAACAGTGGTGCCACACCACCCAAGCAAAATGGTGTATATCATGGAGGTAAAAATCACTTTCAACAGCACCACTTGACAAAAATGTGATAAATCTAACAGAAGTATGTAACAGTATGGTAATGTCTAACACCGATTCAGAGGTGTGAAATGAAACAACAGTAAAAAGGTTTGACTACAAGTCTATACTAAGCCTTATATGAACTAACAGTTCGTTTACCCAGCACAGCCATGTTCTCCTGGCCCTGACGTCCACCCCAGCGTCCAGCCCCCTCCTCACAGTCTGCACGTCACCTTTCCGCACAGCTCTGAAGAACCTGCCCAGGTCCATCTCCTCACAACCTGCTGGGGGATATGGAACAACGTATTTAACAAAAAGGTATGTATCAAAGGTTCATTTATCAAAAACAGTTTAGTTACTTTTCTGGTGAAAATTCCTAACGCTGTTTTCAGTTTTATTGGTTCTGTGTATATAGTTTGATTGGTTCTGTGTATATAGTTTGATTGGTTCTGTGTATATAGTTTGATTGGTTCTGTGTATATAGTTTGATTGGTTCTGTGTATATAGTTTAATTGGTTCTGTGCATATAGTTTGATTGGTTCTGTGTATAAATGAGAGACATACCCTCTACATACAAGATAAGACCCATAGCTTCAGACATTTAGTGAGAACAGAAAAATTCATATTCCTTATGAAACTAGACAAACCATATATCATAAGCTCTATATGCTCATATATCTACAATTGTATCAAGAAGTGAGAAGAAGTTGAACATGCACATAGAATTTAACATTTAGTATATATAGAGTTTTGATAAGATATTGCTGTAATTTTGTTACTTCCGCTTTATTCATGGCTTGTACTTAGCCTGTAAGAGTACAAACGTACAATAAAGGTCTTTTATTCATATATTGACACAACGAAACTACAGAAGCTTTTGTGAGTTCTTACACATAGCGAATACAAGGAGAATTAGTACTAAGTTGTAAGCATTTTACATGTTTATTTATCTGGTAGTACTTACTTACTGTTTATATTTAATTTCTGATTTTTAAACATTCATATTTCAGAAAATGTACCAGCTTTCACACTGTAAAGATGATCCCCTAAAATATGAATTGATTCGATATCATCAAATGAATTCGTTCTTTTAGCGCGAACAGAAGAAAGGTTTTGTGGTTATCATCCTATTTCACCGAGCGGCTTTGCTGTTTATTAGGCTGGCTGCTAGTCGTGCATAATCTCCAAGCAGATCCTAGCTGGGAAAAGAAAGTATCAAATTGACCAGGCAGAATCCAGAGGATGATGGCCAATGGATGCTGGCTGGTCAATTTGATATTGTCTTTTGCCGGATTCCTTTTGCCAACCTAGGATCTGCTTAGAGATTAAGCCGTGCAGACATTTCAACACAGACTGGCGGGTAAATATGATCAGACCGCACCTTTGGACCGGCTACCTTATCAACAGCGCCATTTGCGACATTTCTGGGCTCGACAATGAAGTCTTAAGTAGTGTAAATTTACACCATAGAGGTAGAAAACGCCTTACCTCTTACCTTTATGAAGCAAAATCCAAACTTCTCCGTTTTTAGGAACATGGAGTGGCATGCATGTAGTTTTTCTACCCAACGTTAGATATTTATCTGATAATTGCGAACTACAACTTCTAATCAAACAATCTGCGTCAATATGCTTTGATTATAGTTTCAAAATCTTACTGCTGATACAAACTTAGGTACTAAATATAAACTTAAGGTGCTAAATATAAGCGCCTCTAACTCTATTTAATCGATGAACCACATGTCCGTCCATTGTGTAACCATACCTTAATGGTTTATTACAACTCTGTGTAATGGGTGGGGGTGGGGTGGCGCACTATGTCGTTTATTCCATAACTTTTGCCAATGTTTTTTATATGTGGTGTTGCTAGAGTAAGATTTTAAACTTGAGTGCAACGCCACACTGTCCAAATGTAAATATAGTAAAAAAAAGGCAGATATGTATACATGTGTATGTTCCACTTACTAGTATACATCTGTATCTGTATCTGTATAGCCGGTATACAACCGCCCTTCGGCGTAGCCCACTAGCTTCGCAGGCACACGGCGCAGTGGCAGCTAGCTTTATCACACATTAATGTCACCAATTCAAGAAATGTAAGCGGATTCTGCTGATGTTCAGTACCATACCTGCAGTCTCAGTTGAACAGACAGTCGTTCCCGGAGTCCCTGTTCTGGTTGTTTATCCGCTAACTTGGACCAGAAGACAGGACAAGCCAGGCGCCCAACATGGCGGCCGCCTCGTTACGAAAAACAAACAGGTTCGCCCGGCCGGGGACTTCGAACTTTTATCACCAGACATGTGTTTGCCGTCCCGTTGGTTAATGAATGAATGAATAAAATACCTTTATTGTACATTCATGCCACGACAGGCTAGGTACAGGTCAAGACTTTAAGTTAAAACAGACACATAGCAAACGTATATAGAAAAATTGAGACAAAAGATATACTACTTGACTTATACATACATACATACATAAGGATCATACAAGGGTACTATATTATACTAAAGTTTTCTAGCTACTGAGGTAATACAGAGTGGTCAACTTCTTCTCGCTTAATAAACTACGTCAGGGAGTTTTGGTGCGAATATCAAAAGGCACAGATTCCGTCTTGGACAAAGTAACGGAAGATCAGGCGGTTGATATAAACTTATAAGAAGTTTTTAAAACTCTTCCTTGGCGCCTAGGCGTAATGTTACTCCATACCGTTTCCATAGAGGCGTATGTTAGGAACGTCATTGCCAAATTTCTATCTTAAACTATTAAGAAAACAACTGCTATATGAATCGCATTGCAGCTCGTGGACGATTGCGAAAAAACGTCACCAAACTTGACATATCGATTCCGAAAATGCCAAGGGATTATCTGAACGTACTGTTTCGAAGCCCATTTAGGGCACGGTCACATTTCAAAGTCGGGGTCCGGCCGGGTGTGTTTGCGTGAACGAAAAATAAACAATTTGTGTCAAGAGTATACACAAATAGTGCTCATTGTTAACTTTCTAAAACTTTTTTTTAGTTTTGCTGTCTTATATCATAATTTTCGTTCCATACGACTGCCCGGTCGGGCCCCGGGTCGGAAAATGCGACCGCGACTTTAAGGTAGTAACGGTATTTACCTTTGTTGTTGCTACACTGTCAGGCCTGTACGGCACGGTCACATTTCCAAGCCGGGGCCCGGCCGGATTGTTTGCGTGAACGAAAAATAAACAATTTGCATTACGATTATACACAAATGGTGCTCATGGTTAATTTTCTATTTATGTGTGTGTATGTGTGTGTGTGTGTGTGTGTGTGTGTGTGTGTGTGTGTGTGTTTTGCTGCATTATATCATAATTTTCGTTCTATACGACTGCCCGGCAGGGCCCCGGGTTGGAAAATGTGACCGCGACTTTAGCAAGTAATTCAGTCATTTTCCCGATATAATGCAGTCGATGCGCCCTAAAACACGACCCATTGCACCAAGAACATTGTTAGACTCTCCATATTAGCAGACTCCGGCTAACAAGGTATTCACACTAGGTTGCTACAGGCTACCGAAGAGAAAAGACTGTTAACCAGATATAGATCCCCCAGTTAAGCTTCGGTCCCAATTGCGCCGGTGCCCGTCGGGGATGTAGCCCCGCCCGGCCCGTGTCGGGCTCAGGAGTCGGGCGAGCATCGGCTGTCGTGGTCACAATTAAAAGTATCCTTCAGTAGCATTTTGTTAAAAAAATTGTCACCCTCTTTGGTCGGTCTCCGGTAGGCACCCGGCAGGAACCCGGCAGATTCTCTGACGATGTTTTGTACTGACCTATTTGTTGTGATCATTTGATCTGTGACGTCACAATTTTACCCGGGTTTACGAAGTATACACTTTTATTCTGTTCATCTGGTCTGTAACGTAACAAATGTGTCCCGGGGGACTGCCGGCAACCGGAGGGGTACCTGTCGGTGTTCTCACGGCTCAGTCACGGCGTCTTTTTGTTAGCGGGGCCCGGGTAGAATTTAAGTCAGAATTGAATTCTTCTCGGCGTTTCAATGATTTATACCTAGCTGTAGGTATTGCATGGATTGGATCTTTTATTCAAATATGTCTGTGTACATTCTTAACGTTGCACCTTAAAATCTACATCAATTGCTTCCATCTGAAAATTTTAGATTTTGATGAATAGAAAAAAATAGTTGGCCCTTTGATTCCACACATATCCCACCCCATTACTGCACATGGAATTGTCCGATACTGTGAGTTGCATACCCAGATTCCTAAAGCATGGAAGTCCCTTCAAACCTACCCGAAGAAACAACGTACTTGGCAATTGGACCAGGAATTTTTCATGAAAATTTCCATCTTCCAAATTATGTACAGTCATGATGAATTCTTCTATCTAGAATTGTATAATTTATCATAAATATCTATTGCACTCTGTGTGATATAAATGGCCACCCAAAGTAATGCTAGCCACGAGCATTATTCGAATGATGTCATTTTCCTGTGTCATTACTGTATGTGCCACCCATGCCACACTCTAATAACAGATAATTTACATCAAATTAGCCTCAAAATATCTGGAAGCAGATTTCTTTGTGACAAAGAAATTTACCTGATAGCGAAACAGCAGATTGCAAAATACTTCTACACAATTTAATCGATGATAGCATATAGATAATAAGCAGTACGCGTTGATAACAAGTCCCAATGTTCTATGGGAATGTATCTGAGTAAAGTCATTTATTTGTTATTTGTACAAGATCTGATCATAAAAGATCACTCGTCATACTTATCACGTTGTTCTTGCTGATTTTAGAAGCGGTCCTTTTGACCCAGTTCTTCGCTGAAAATTTTTCAAAAGAAGCCCTTTGAATTATGATAAACTATTTTAAAATTTCAGTGTCTTATGGCCTTTGCTAAGTCCATTATAACAAAGGTTTTGTCATCAGGTTTAGCTTACAATACTGATATCTTCCTGTAAATTGTAGCGAGTAGCTTTGTGCACACATTTTGCAAGTAACCATGCCACAATGAGAAAGTAATTATGCCCATTTCTTCTGACTGCATCGCTCTGCACAGCACAGTTTAGAGAGAAGTCAACTATGTGAGGTACTCATACTCAAATATTAACAAAGATGGGAAAAACAAACAACTCGTTTTAGGAACTAAATGTGCACATAACATTATTATCCATCTGTTAATCACCAGCAAGTCTAATTTAGGAAGTATCGGTCCCCAAGGCCAAGTTCACTGCAACATTTCCGCCGCCTCCGGGTTCACCTCTTCCAGGACGACCTTGAACACCTGACGCGCGTCTTCTCCCTTAGTTCCCACGGTGTCCAGCAGTGCGCGTGCGCGGTCCTGGGGCGTGGTGTGGGCCCTGATGACGTCACACTCCTCCGTGCTGAGGACCTCCATGGCCTGCAGGTGGTCCAGGAGCGGTTCCACGTGTCTCAGAGCCTGCACCAGCTCAGGACGGTGTCTGCTCAGCTGGTCCGTCCTGTCCTGCAGCTCATCGGCCCGCGGTGTGGCCATCAGCATGTCCGCTGCACGGGGGTCAACCTCTCTCAGGACCGACTGGAACACAGGAAGTGCGTCTTCTCCCTTCATCCCCACGGCGTCCAGCAGTGCGCGTGCGCGGTCTTGGGGCGTTGTGTTGGTTCTGATGACGTCACACTCCTCTACAGTCAGGATGCCACGTGCCTGCAGGTGGTCCAGGATTGGCTCCACGTGTCGCAAGGCCTGGACCAGCTCTGGGCGGTTCCTGGTGAGCGGAGTCTCCACCTCAATACACAGTAGGTCATTGACATGTTCCGTGAACCCGAGTGAGGATTGGACGATTGTACCGCCCTCTGCTGCTGCCTTGATGATCTCCTCCTTGCCATACGAGAAGAATTCTTCCCTATGTTCCTTGAGTGCGCGAGCGCTCAGCACCTTCTCTTCTGTGCCTGTTCCGGGGCTGCACTCATCCAACACATCAGCGATGGTGTTCTCCAGCTGCTGCAGCATCTTGCCGCACTGCACCTTGTCACCTTGCGCACTCCGGACACAGATGTTGACTGCACGGCCGTCTGGAGAGAGTTTGATTAGACCTTCCACATTCCTGTCCACACACTTGGCGCCATCTCTCCACAGCAACGGGCGATTCTCCTGCTCCCTCATCAGGCGGGTCTGCACTCGGGGGAAGAACCCGGAGGAGAACATGTCGGTGGTGTCGGCACACTGGACTTGCTTCCCAAAGTAGATCACCTTTGGCTCAGATGTTGGTTGCCAAACATGGTTAGGCATGGTTTGTGTCAGCAGCCCTGGGAAGATGAAGGTCTGTCCATCATAGGAGTGGCAGAGCTGGAACTCTTGCAGCAGGGTGATAAGAAGATCCACGTCAGCAACGTCTTGGAAGACGCGCTGGATCTCCTCCCTGGTGACGTAGTCTTCGCTTGTTCTTTCCAGGCGGGGAATGGGGAAGTTGACTGGTGCCATCATTGGACCGATGACGTCTGTGCAGAGCCAGTTGGGCTTCAGAACAATGATGGGATCAGAAGCAGTCGGACATGTAAAGATGACCTGTAACACAATATTTACATGTTGAGTCAAACCTGCCAGTACGCTTGCAAGTATGGGTATCACTTCATGGTTATGGGTCTTCTATTTGCAATAAACTTTCGAATAATATATTAGCCATTACAATATAACACACGACATCAACATCGAGTCTAAAACTTTTAGGAAAGTTCATCGGCACAAACAAGATAACACATAGTAAATGATAATTTAGACACTAAAATGATTTATCCTGGGATTTCTTGCTGTGCGAATTATCTTAACTTCTCTTTTTAGTTACAATTGCATACGCTTCTATCAAGGACAGTTAGCCTACCTCCCCCAGATGGTCCAGAAACCGTGTAGACTTTAGGAGAAACTTTTCATCCACATGAGGGTCAATTTCTTTGACTGCGTCCAGGTAGTCAGGCCACCTCAGTACAGGACACTTCGGGCTGCACTTCGTCTGGCACCACGTGGATAGCCGCTTGGTGATTTTCGCGCACAGTTTGGGCATCTGGCGTTGGTGCTGTGCAGGTCATAAATGTGAATAAATCATATCAACACATCATTTGTCTTTAATTTGTTATAAAAAAAGCCTTATACATTTTTTTCATTAAAGTCTTGTCATGTTTTTTCCCACTATAGCCTCACTGCATACACTTACCTCTAACATGGCGTTCTTCAACGTAGCCAGCAGCTTCTTGAGTCGGTCCATCTCAGGTGTTCGCGTCTCCTTACAGTTCATCAGGAAGACTTCGTCTGAGATACGGAGCTGATCTTTGAACTCTGACGTCATGAGCTGCAGAAGTTGGACTGCTTGGCGTGTTCCTGAGTGTTGATATGAAAAAGAACATATGTTCGGCTTTTCATGTATTACTGTTACTCATGACTTCAGACATTTCTTATCCTCTTACGGACTCTAATATTTTACCTGTGTTAAGTGACACTTTATCCGCATGGCTGGCCACTAAGATGACGTTAGGCCGCCGGTTTGGGTTGCAGGACTTGATGAAACAAAGCCACCAGTGGACCTGGAGAGGAGAATTTGATGATAGATTACCATGGTTGCCTAGAACCATGTATGAGAAAAGGTCTTTATGAAATGCCTTTTCAAAACCTTCCTTTATTTATTTTTTTCCAATGACGAAATGGCATGGCAAATTTCAACGAGATACACGTGGTATCACAAAATGTATGCTACTAGTGATTTCTTGTAGAACATGTGCAAACTTACAAAATGTCCCAACATGAAATACTACAGTATACAATCATTGATTTAAGTAGCTGTTACCTGTTGTTCTTGACCCTTGATGTCGTCCATGATGTTGTACAGCACAATGGAGATGGTGTTCTCTGCATCCATGAACATACTGTGGGTTACCGCGTACTCCGACTGCCCAGCAAAATCCCACACGCTGACCTCCCCCACCCCAGGAATATCGAACGTCCCAACATCCACCCCTGGGGTGGGGTCGTGAGGCTCCTCGGCTGACGACGAATCACTCAATCTTCGGAGCACTGCAGACACCGGGCCCTGTTGGACAGTATTTGGCCATTAGATTTTATCGTTTTTGATACAACTTCCGTACGATCAGTCAGAGGAATCTAGATCTAGCTAGTACCTTCTTTGTCTCTTAACGTGAGCTTTTTATGACTTAAGAAGCAAACAAGACTATTACTTACTCTTTTAAGACTTATCTTTAGTGTGGACTTTCCCGTTTTCGCTTCCCCAAACAAGAACACCTTACACCTGTCGGCCTTCACTCCGCCAGACTTCTGCAGCAACTCGTGGTACAGCTTCTCTTGCATCACTTTCTTTTCTCGATTCTGGTGAGGTAAAATAACCAATTGGTCGCAAAAAGTCAGGCATATTTATTGACAGGATTGCGTAATAATACCGAGATATTTTCAGCATAGTCCTAACCAATCCATATACGTATTTTATAGTAGCAGAGACTACTCACTTGTCGGTCACGCCGAGTTCTCCAGCTGTCTGCTACACCAGAGAGTATCTGTCCTTTCTGTACATGGAGAAATCAGAAATGCCTAACATTTGTAAACAAGCAACATGTAACGATGACAACAAAACTATCAAATTAGTAGAAATTCTTCGATCAGTGACTGTATTTTTTAAGGTAAATTACGTACCTCGATATTTTCGGTGTCGACTGTACACCTTGATCCGCTAGGAGGCGGGGGAGGTCAGAAGATCCACACAAGTCTCGACGTAGTCTCGTGTTCTCGCGAGACTAGGTCACTCCGTGATCAAGGTGTACAGCCGACACCAAAAATTTGAAGGTACGTAATTTACCTTACAAAAATACAGTCAGTGATCGAAGAATTTCTACTAACTGTTCATTCTACGTTACTGATGAATCTCTTTAACAAAAACTATCAAGGCTTTGTACAGTTTCCACCAACCAGAAAATTAAGACTGCTTGTCGACTAATTTCATATCAATAGGTAACATCCGTGTCCATAATATCACTAGGGTCCATAATATTGCCACCTTGAGAAATAGTGTGCTTTAAGATATTTTTACTGCAACATACTTTTGGTATGCACTCCTGCACACCTCAAATGTACATACCTAGGGTATGTTGCAGTAAAAATATCTTTAAGAATACTTTTTCTCAAGGAGGCGATATTATGGACCCTGGTGATATTATGGACACAGATGTTAACTTTATTGCAAATTCACACCTCGTGGCTTATTTTAAGCAAGTTGAAAATGACAGTAAACAATAATTTCCTTTAAAGGCTGGCGTTTTATGTATCATGACAGTCATTTGTTAGTTTGCAACAAAAATTGTGCCCTACAAGAACACTGGTGAGGTTGTCGGCAGTTTCACCTACTCACCTATTGAGATAATGACAAAGACCTGTAGGTCTCTCAACGTTTCAGACCATGCGTGTATACAAAAGCTCTTCACGTTATATTTTATTTGTTAAAGAGATATGCAAACATGTAGTAATGCCAACATAGTTCCAAAAGTGAGTGTGCCGTCACCACGTCTGGAGTATTACCATCGCGGCCGTGATGATGTCCAGGCCCCTCCTCACATTTCGCCGGTCCCCTTCCCGCAGAGCTCTGTAGAACCAGCCCAGGCCCATCTCCTCACCCCCTGCGGTGGAACAAAGTAGGTTTTGTATATCGTGTTTATAGTATTCATCAAAGAAACGTACAGCAGAAATAGCTCCGGTGCAAATGTCTAACAATGTTTCCATCAGCATTGCCTTTATGTACATATATTGACACGACGAAGCTACAAGTTTTCTACTACTATAAATACATGTATTATTAGGCTAAGTGTAAAGTTACAAATATCAATATGTAGGTTTCATCTACACTTTGCACAAGAGATTCCGAGATGCAAATAATACAGTTGCATATCTTTGGTGTGATTCAAAACGTCAGATGTTTTATTATCAACGCGTCGCCTAAAATCCGAAATCCCGGACATGTTGCACCTTACCTTCAGCCATAGTGGATCAGGCAGCTGTTCCTGGGATCCCTGGTGTTGGTGAATCCGCTAACTTGGAGGAGAAGGGCCATAATTCCAACATGGCGGACAGCCTACCAACGTGAGACGCCATTGTACAACGTACCCAAATATAGGTGCAAATAGGAGGGCCTGCATGCCCTTTTTCGTAAGGCGTAATCGGGCCTTTTTAGTCGTCGCAATCCGCAGGCAGCCTCCCCAAAAATCAATGTAATTCGTAATAGTACATTAGTCCGAAATCGTTAGGTCGTAATCAGCTCTGAGACGTTAAGTTAAAATGTAATTCGTAATCGGCGGCGACAATTTTGCTTAATTCGTAATCACTACACCCCCCCCCATGCAGGCCCTCAAACAGGTCTAACAGGAATCATGACCCTTTGTGACCGGCTCCGCGCAATGAACCGTTATGAGCGAGTCCTGATACCTTATGAGGGAGTCTAGTTGGTCTGACGTATACACCCAATTACATTCCAGTTCGGGCGGAACAGCTATATCCAGTTGACGGGCGCAAATCTGGTCACTCACGTACAAGGCGACTCCACCACCGGTTCAGAATCTGTTCTGTCGCGGTTTAGGAGCGTCGTGAAACTGTCGATACTAAACATATTTTCGGGCTGTTCTGGTGTAAACCAGGTCTCAGTGACAACCGCGATCTGGATTGCATTCTGATTGAGTACGCACTGAAACGCGCCCAGCAGTTTTAACTCGAAAAACGCTACATTATGCACATATCAAACAAACGAACCCCACATGTACCAAGCAACCAGTTCTGCGGCCAAGCTTTAGTAACAACAAAAACCCATCCGTACCTCGGTATTACATTGACAAGTAGCCTAAAGTGGGACACGCATGTGCAACATAATACATTACTTTTTGCTTAACATAACAATTTCTGAGAACGTCACTAGCAGGTTACTACCGATAACAACGTACTCTACTGTCTTTGGAATGTACCAGAATCACCTATGGCAGCGAGGAACACAATATATAAGGGGAAATGTCACCATTTCCCGCAGATGTAGATGGTCTATTTTGAGTACCCATTGGTGAGTGCATACAAACCAACTGAAAACAGCCTTTTTGGCGACGTCTCAGGGAGGAGCCTAATGATGCAGTATTGTGTGCAGTTTGTAAGAATTCTAGGAATGGTACAGGCATTTTGTCCACAGGAATGGAATGTCCACAGGCATGTCTCGAACCTACATCTATGCCCACATTCCTGGAAACCCAGGCCATGGGAAGGCCTCTCTGCCCCGTACGGCCCTACTTTCTGTGACACCGGGGCTAGTTCACTATACACTCAGGGGAGGAGTGCACTGTATCTATCTAGACTTAACAGGTACCAAGTCTGCCTCAAAACCATGAAATCATGGCAATGCCATGCAAACAATAACCCTAACAGCAACCACCGTCGCCATGGCAATGTATGTTTTCATTGCCAGTCTTGCTTTCTATTAATATTAATATCACAGTGTTGTTGTTTCGTTGATTATGTCTGTCTCACTCGTCCTTTCCCCAGGGCACGAATTATCTGATGTTCAGATTAGTCTGACGAAAGAACCGCCAGGCTGGTTTGAGCTTGTGTAAGAATAATTTACAAAAAATAATAAATCTAAAATAAACCTTACATTACTGGGAGCAAATAGAGTCAAACACACATTCCGTAACTTCAGATGTAATACTTAATTCATCTAACCGTTAAAGACATTGTTAACGTTACACTCTTAAACACATTGTTAACGTTACATTCTTAACAACTGCTGTTAAAATATCTAAATTATCAGAACAAACGACTCCTTGTACCACAAGAGAACACTTATTCCCCGCATAACCATCACCTTTTGTAAATTATGTATATATTAGATCACTAGATCTTTTGAAAGACCTAAAATGTTACATCAAACAACTCCTCGAACTCAGAACACCACAAGATAACACTTATGCCCCGAATATACTTAAACATAACCATCACATTCCGTACATGTCATTATGTATATATCATATCACTTGATACGAAACACAGTATTGTTTGTCCTTCATAGTATTACAGATTGTTGATAACAAAGCCTATCTCTGATATCATATTTACATTTTGTAGCCAAAGATGCCACTTTGTGTTTTAGAACTCGAAATGTTTGAAATGGGTCATCGACTTTCCGCCATCTTGAATTTGGAGGTCAAAGACAATTCTTTCTTGATACGATAAAAACATTTGCAGAACTTGACCATGTGAATATGTGCAAAGTGCATAGACGGCTAGCTGCGAGTCCTAGACCTGTTTGAAAGTTCTGTACCCGTGCCTGATAGGGTCAAGAAGTCAACCATTGTGATCCAGTTCGACCATGGGCAGCTGATCTCCGTCCTCGTTTTGCGCATGCGGCCTGGGTCTCGGCATGGCGTAGATCAGCCGTTCCCAGAAACGTTCGTCCCCCCACTTCAGGTAAGTGTTGGTCTTCAGGTAATGCTGGATGTCCGCAGGGGCGTTTTCGGCGGGGATGTCGTCCAGTAGAATCACGATCACACGATTAGCCCTGTCCTGCAGCATCTGCGCGTGCGCGGCCTGGAACTCCAGCTGACACCAGTCGCTTTCTAAGAAGTTGTTGGACAGAAGAATGATGGTTCTCTTGCTGGAACTAACGGCTTTTACGATATTCTCGGCGATTGGGTCGCCCGGGAGAAAGTCACGGTGGTGCAAGCAGACGCGAAACGGCGGCTCCCTGTTCTCGAGCGCGGGCAAGATGTCTTGCAGCACCACGTCTAAGTCGTGTCGACTGTACGATAAGAAGGCGTCGTACTCCTTGTCTTCGTCGTTTTCTTCTTCTTCTCTGAACCTCCATCCGTACCTGGCGTACAGGTAGACTTGGATGGCTTCCTTTCGTTTCACGATGACGATCACGCAAACTAAAATGATGATGACCAAAACCAGCGGAATCGACACTCCGACAATGACTCTATTGCGTGCTTGAGCTACTTGTAGCTCATCACAGTCAAACTGTGCCGCCGACAAACTCGAAATGTCCCGCGTTACTTTAGCACCTTCTACGCAGCTGACGTTACGTCCTTGTGACAGAAGGTACGCTCTACTCCGCAGCCAGTTCGCGAGCCACATAACATCGCAGCCGCAGGTCAGCGGATTGCCGTGAATGCCGAGTAACGTCAGCTTCAAACCAGAAAACACGTTTTCAGGTACAGACTTTAGCTTGTTGTTCTCCAAGTGTAGTTTCTGTAACTTTGAAAGGTCTTGAAACGTATCAGCTGCTAGATAACTCATACCTGAATTGTTCAGGTAGAGTTCCCGTAGCTCAGAAAGGAACTTGAAAACTTGTCTGTTTATCTCGGAGATGTTGTTTCCGTCAAGCCGGAGGATTTTAAGTGAGATGAAGTTTTTGAATGCCATACTGCCGACATAGGAGATGTTATTGCCATTTAGGTAAAGTTCTCGTATCATCAAAAGTTGGGGAAGAACGGTTTGGTTGATGACTGTTAGCTGATTCCCTTCCAAATGAAGGATTGTTGTGACGTTGGAAATGTCATCTGGGGTAGAAGGGAGGTTTCTGTGGGAGCAGTCGACCAACTGGTTGTAAGGAGCTGTGGAAGAATGCAGCTGTCCTTGGAACGAGCACGAACATTCTGGCGGACACGCCTGCCGTGCAAATATGCACCAGTTTGCTTGTGGCTTCAACAACTTCCCTTCATGCTCAAAGCAGAAACAATAGTACGTTCGGTTGTAGCATTCCTGCGAGCACCACAACTCAGATGGGCTGAGATCTACCACCTTTCTACCTCTCAGCGTATCGGGATACGCACACTCCATGTGTTCGAAGTCAGTCTTTGTGTAAAGGACACCTTGTTTTGCGACATCCAAGTTCGACACCAACTCGTAAAGCCCACAGTCACATATTATTGGATTTTCGGTCATCAGAAGGGAGATATCGCCCAAAGTATGACCAAAATAATGTACAATTGATATCGTTGACGTATTGAAAGACCAGTATTTTGCTAGCGAAAACGGTAACGAAGTGAATATGTTCCACCTCAGGTCGAGTCTCAAGGACAGGTATATCAAGTCTTCAGAAGCGTAATGCTTTGTGATGTAAACAACAGCCAGGTTGTTGTGGGATAAGTCGACCTTTACAGTTTTGCCAGAAATACCGAGAATTTCCAATGACGAGCGGTCCAATGACTGCACGTTGTTGTACGAAAGGTCAATGTCCTCGCAAAAGTCAGACGTAATGCCGGAAAAAACCTCCTCAACATGGACTAAATGGTTTCTGTGCAGATCTAACTTTCTCAATTTCAGTAGAGGACTGAGTGTTTCAGGTGTTAATGTTGTTAAGCGATTGTTTCCCAAGTACAAGTATTCCAAAGAAAGCATGTTTTTAAATGTTGTCTGAGAGAGAGAGCGAAGAACATTACCTTGCAGATAAAGAGAGATAAGTGAGGTTAGACTATCAAACACTGTGGGATCAATTGCACTTAAGTAGTTTCTACTTAAGTCCAAAGACTTTAAGAGACTCAACCCTTGAAATGCTGACGGCCCGATATGATCAACAAGCCCATCGGAAATGTTCAATTGTTCAAGTTTCTCTAACTCCTTAAATGTGCCATTCGGAATAAACCGGATCTTGCTGACTGGCAACTGCAGAGAGTTAAGTTTTGAGAGGCCATGGAAAGAAGTTGGAAAAATGGACTCCATATTACCCACACCTACAATGGGAAGTCCGCTATTATCTAAAACCCAGTATTTGGAACTATTCGTACCTAATGATAATCGTCTTTGCAAATTTAGTATTTGTAAATTACTAAGGTTTTTAAATGGGGAACCGGCCAAAGATTTGATTCGGTTACTATCGATTTTTAAAATTTGTAAGCTAGGTAAGAATGGAAATGTTGATAAATTTGAAATACGATTTAGTGAAATGTCAAATGATCTTAAGTTCTTTAGGTGCTGTAAGTATTCTGGTTTTAGATCCGGAATTTTGTTGTATTGAAGATTGAGACTCTTCAGATTTTGCAATGGATATGTACCATTGACTTCTTGATAGAGCGCTTTGGGGAAAATTTCAAGAAACAGATAGTTCAAAGTGAGCTTTTGTAGTTGTGGCATGGACAGAAATAGCTCAGGGTCAAGTTTAACCGGCGGGAAAGATGCATTGATGAATTGTGAATAGAACCTACCCGATTCTAATACATGAAACGGGAAGTCCCTTATAGTCAGGTCCTCTACATTACGGATACCGTAGAAAATTTCCTTCCCTACATGCCGGAAGCAATTACCGAGCCTCAAACCCTTTACTGATGCTGGGAGGAAGTAAAAAAGCCCGCTGGTGTTCGTTGATGATTTCTGTTTGCATAGCACCGATAAGTAAACAATTTCCGGGAAGATAGAAAGATATTCAGATAGAAATAGGCGGTCCTGCGCTTTGGTCTGGTTAAGGAGGTTAAACTCCTTGGTGAGGTTGGACAGATCCGGGCAAACGCATTCAAGGGAAATTCTGGTCGGCTGGTTACACTCTCAGACCGGCTGAGCGAACTGTGAACTTTCACCTCCGGTCGAACCGGTTTCCGCCGTTCCCATGGCAACGTCACGGCTAATGACGCAAATCATGAATAAGACAGGGAGGACTCCAGACATGGTTTTTGTAATGTGGCGTGTTTCCTGAAAACAAAGAAGAAACAGAAATATTTTGATTTGTCAACAAATATGTGGTAATTATTAATGACATAAAATGTATGGCACAAATGACATGAGTGACACATGAGTCTTCCAACCACGTTTCAGGACACGCTTTCTACTCTGATTGGTTAGCACATTCAGACTCTTTTGTGTCTTATCTAATCAAATCGTGTGAAACCAATGACTCACCGTGTATCATAACGGAGCTATTACACTATTTTAAGCAGGCTGAACAATGCCGGCAGATTTGGGCCAGTTGAGGGGAATCTCCGTCGTCTTGTCTGAAACTATTTCCTTGAGGGCTGGCACACTTTTACTTTTGCTGGCATTATAGCATTGTACGCAAGTACAATTATAGGATTGTAGCATTATACGCAAGTAAATTCGAAAATGGAAGCCAGGACATGAAAACGTTGCTCTATTTACCCATAGGATCGCTTCTGAATACATGAATTCTGTTTCTTTAGTACTAATGTCAGTCTACCAAGCAAATACGGAGACGTAGTCCATGCCTTCACGACATGCTGTCATACAAAGTGTTACAAATTGTCGTCAGATTTCGTCTTGAAGTTCAAGCGGTCCTTGTTTTTTAGGAGTAAATCCTTCTGGACCAGGTCCATTCCCCAGATCCCCCCCCCCTCGCTTAAGTCTTGTATCAGTTGACTTCCTACAAAACTCCCGTCAACAAAGCTATCTTACAATGCCAGTTCCCATTCCAATATTTAATGTACGTGACACAAGTGTACACAGTGAGACTAAACGTTCATCAGTGTAAGTTTACAAACGACGTTGACAGTAAGGGACCGCTTCTTACCGGACGGAAGAGAAATGTTGATCAAAACTCTGGCGGTGCTTCTCTCGCCAGCTCACCAGCAACAATGGACGTCTGTGTGAAAGGTTCATTCTTTTCCACACCAGCGATCAGTGCCCAGGGGTATATACATGTACTGAATCATAATGAGGGCAAACGGTGTGTTTTGAGATACATGTACTCTACTACTACTCTACTACTCCAGGCGCTGAGGGGTTCGGTGGAGGAGCTGTGTACATCCGATGGGGCCGGACGTCGTGCGAGGAGGGTGTGGGCACCGAGACGGTGTACTCTGGACGCGCTGGCGGGCCGATGTACAACGAAACGGGCGGGGGGAGCAACTACCGGTGCCTGCCGGCTGAGCCCAAAAGGGGGCGGTACGAGGATGGAGTGCAGGTATATTACTCCTAACCCTTCTCCTGTGGGGCCAAGATATCTATATAAATATATCTATATCTATCCATATGTCTGTCGATCTATCTATCTATCTATCTATCTATCTATCTATCTATCTATCTATCTATCTATCTATCTATCTATCTATCTTATCTTGCTATGTCTATCTATGTATCTATCTATCTATCTATCTAATCTTGCTATGTCTATCTATCTATCTATCTATCTTATCTTGCTATGTCTATCTATCTATCTATCTATCTATCTTATCTTGCTATGTCTATCTATCTATCTATCTATCTATCTATCTATCTATCTATCTATCTTATCTTGCTATGTCTATCTATCTATCTATCTATCTATCTATCTATCTATCTATCTTATCTTGCTATGTCTATCTATCTATCTATCTATCTATCTTATCTATCTATGTCTATCTATCTATCTATCTTGCTAAATGTGAATATTCAACCTGCTAAATGTGAATATTCAGCCTGCTAAATGTGAATATTTAAACAGCCCGAACCAGATATTAACTTCTCGTTTATAAAGCGCTTATACGAAACATGAGGTGTATGAGGCCTTTTAAATCTTGTTTATTTAGGCATCTTCATTAAAGATAGCGTGGAGGTTTTGCGCTTCTTCTCTCCACGGCAAAAACTCCCTCGGCAGCAAAATCGTCCCTTCGCGGCAAATTACTCGCGTCGCTCACAGAAAAAAAAACACCCAACAAGTCTGCGAAGGAGGCTAGGTAAAGGGTGTGACCTCTGCTATCACTGATCGCCCTTTTTTGGCGACGTCTCAGGGAGGAGGCTAATGGTACAGTATTATGTGCAGTTTGCAAGAATTCTAAGAATGGTACAGACATTTTGTCCACAGGCATAGAATGTCCACAGGCATTTCTCTGACCCACATCTATGCCCACATTCCTGGAAACCCTTGGGAAAAACCCTGATGGCCCTACTTTCTGTGACCCCGGGTCTCGTTCACTATACACTCAGGGAGGAGTGCACTGTATCTGTCTATACTTAACAGATACCAAGTCTTCCTCAAAATCATGAAATGGTGGCAGTGCCATGCAAACAATAACCCTAACAGCAACCACCGTCGTCATGGCAATGTATGTTTTCATTGCCAGTCTTGTTCTCGATATGTGCGGATAAATGCTGGCATTTTCCAGCTGGAGAATTTTATTTCTATTAGATGAAAAAAAACTGTCTTTTAGTAATGCCATGTTGTTGTGGTTTGGTGGTACCATGGTGTACAGGGGCGTCAGAGTTCATGCTCTCAGTGTTTCCATCTATCGTACTTTTTTCGCTGATTAAAACAATGAAGTTTTCGGACTAAATGGCCAATATTGAGGTTGGACAACCCTGTCAATATGAGTTTGCAATAGTTAAAACACTCAAGTAGGTGGTTTTGACAGCTTATTTATTAGTTGTTTACCATATATTTAATTGGACCTCAAAATTATGGTCATAAGTCTACAGTAACATAATGTAAGCAGATGCTGACACGCCAAAGCAATGATTTATTCAGAATTGGATACACAGTCTAAAACACTATTATAACTGCAGGGCATTGTTTGAAGCTTTCTAAAAGTTTGCATCTAACTACAGATGTGTTATTCCACTAACTGCTGATGTTGCATATTGGTTTACTAACATTTGCTGCTTAAGAGGATAGAAATCATTACACGAAGAGCTGTAGAGCTGTTCTGTTGGGACAAAGTCCACTAACAAACCGATGTGTCGGTGATAAAGAAGGTAACGTTACGTATTTTACGGTTCCGGATTTATAGAAGAAAAAAGGACTGCACAAACATATTAAATCACGTTTGCTATACTATGAAATAACTGATACACAGGCAAATTGCCACAATTACTAGCGTCTTCTTCGTTGTTTATCGGCATTATGTGTTACAAACTTTAGCAAAAAAGCAAATCACTGTATTAAACCTGCGAGTCACGAATCTTTAATCATTTGACAAAAAGGCAAAAAAAATCCTTAGAGGTCTGTTTCAGCCTCTCAGGTGCTGGTATCTGACATCACACTCCCGGGCAGGCTGACAAAAGACCCGGACACATCCGTGTCATCCTGAGCACTTTTGCCTTGAGCCGCCTTGCTGTTAGGCGCTGCTTCCTGATGTTCCTGCAGCGCAAGGGTTTGAATAAAAAATGTTAATGAGCAAGTAAATATCTTAAAGGCTTTCACTTGCACTGTTTCTATAGGTTATCTGAAATATATCCGATGCCGTCGAACGTATTTGAAGTACGAAGGAAATAATTAAGAAGTGACGTTTATTGTAGGAATGTTAAAAAATGTGGCCGACCCCATTGGTTACTTATTCACGTCGCTAAAGCGAGGACAGGAAATGGAATATTCTGAAACGGAACATGCTCCAGACATGTGGAATTAAGAATTGGAAATTTCTGCTTTGTTTGAATCAAGTTCCATAAACGTGACTAATTCTAGTCTGTTACATTATCTGTGACTTCGATGGTCGTGACAATAGCGTGTAAACTTGCAAATTGTCTAGGTTATATTTGCAGGCGTACCGTTGCTAATAAATACGGATCGTCATCCCATTCCATTTCGTAGTACTCCAAATCAAGTTTTGGAATAAAAACACGTTTTGTAATGCAACAAATTCACAGCCATCTTCAACCTTCCAATATGGCTGACGTTAAATTACGTCATAGTAACGTGAGTGCAATTCCCTCACACGTGCTTACCACGTGATGGAACTCCACCTCCTCCACCTCCTGGTCCCAGACCTTCTTCACCTTGTGGAAGTTCATCCTTCCGTCGGTGACGTTCATGGTTTTGTAAGCTGGGTTGCGGATCGCAGGTGGCACCACTAATCCACCTGGCTTGGACAAGTCATGGAGTTCAACCTGGCTTCCTGTCCTGAAATTTAAACGGAACTGTCATCGTCATAACATTTTGTCCCCTAATTTAGAAGAATTGTAGGTATTAGAGCTTTATTCTTCATTATAGCTTCAATGTATAGTTAAGTTAAATTAACTAAACGTAGATTACCTCAACTATATGATGGGCCTAAACTTGAAATATCTTGCGCCAAAGGGTAATGCTACAGGAGGTATAGGAATGGTAAAAATGTTTAGGGGCCAAGGTACAGGGTAGATATCATCATTATAATACCTTGGTCCATGGGTTAGATTTAGCCGTTGGGCTACTTACAACATTATGGTTCTGTCCGCCATGCATGACTGTGCTAAGGTTAATTTCACGTAGATGAGGTCGATATACTTACGGGCTTTGGCTGACTTTACGTGCCTCGTTCTGTCTCTTCTTAAAGATGACGATGATGATGATCAGCGCTGCCAGACAGCCGACTGTGATGCCCACGATCTCCCCCAGCGTCATGCCGTTACAGGGCCAGCCGGGCTCGCAGTGGCAGACATAACCGTTTACCTGGTCGATGCAGGTGTAGTTCGTCGGACACGGGTCGGGCACGCAGTCGTTGGGGTTGATCTCGCAGTACCTTCCCTCGAAGCCCGCCGTGCAGTTGCACATGTAGTCGTCGAACCCGTCACTGCGCGACTGGTCTTGACAATCAGGATCGCTTTCAGGCCCAACGCACCATCCGCCGTTCCTGCAAGGGTTCTCCAAGACGTGGATGACAACCGTCACGAGTTTGGACCTTGCTCCGAATGCATCTTCTGCGTAGAATTTTACCATGTCTTCGCCGAAGTAGTGTTGGTCGGGGGTGTATGTTACAGCGGTAACGGCCCAGTTCATGATGTCTGGTGGGTGCGGAAGTACTATCCCGCATGGATAGGGGATAGCAGGACCCGCCCAAGACTTGTTGAAGACATCCGCCCATTCTCTTATCTTTGCTTCCACAGATATGGTACAGTTTGGCTCTTTGAACGTGATTTCCTTCACATGCTTGCCGACCTCAATGGTACCATTTGAAGGTGCCTTGATGCGCAGCGTCACCGCATCGTGGGCGTCAACGTCGAAGGATCCGGCCACAAACCTCAACACCTCGAAGTCGACATTCTCAGGATGGTTTTCCTCCACAGTCAGGTGGATGATTCCCGCTCCCTGGAGTTTTTCTTCTCCCCCGTAGACCAAAAACGGCTTCGGGGTGTCGTTTGCGTCCCCTACATCTATGACGATGGTCAGGGTGGTGGAGAGTAGAGGATTGCTGTCCACACGCGACTCGGAGATGATTATAGGGATTTTTCTGGAGCCCGAGAAGTCCAGGGCTGGTCTGTACCGCAGCGTGCCGTGTTTGTCCAATTCAACAAGATCACCTGAGTCCTGCTGAGATAAGGCAAATAAAAGATACGTTGACTCAAACTGAGTCTGATATACACCCTCAACATGAAGAATAGTGAGTCTACCTGCTGTGCGTGACTCTTCGTTCAACAAAATTTATAGAATATAACGATGTCGTCTTCGGTTAAACCTGCACAATTCACAGGATACAGAAGTTTTCTTTTACATACACAACCAAGATTTTTCACGTAAGTGCTCACGTTTCGGTGCCTATCAGACACCTTCCTCAGATAGACACAAAAAAGTAAGCACTTAGGTGAGACATCTTGGTTGTGTAGAAGAAAACTCCTGTATCGTTATCCTATACTTTACCAACCTGATGAAACTATTTTCGGTTGCACAATGCACATTTGGTATGCTAACAAAACAAAACGAACTAAGTTCGTAAGATGGAAGTCCTGTTCCAAGAGGGTAGAACTGGTGAAAGAAAATTGACTGAAACAAAACGAGGGTTTAAAAAGGAAAAAAAAAAGACCTACCAGTTGCTCGTTTAGCTGGAAGACCAGATCGTCATCCTCCGGGTCTTCGGCGACGAGCTGGGTGATTAGAATTCCCTCATCCTCGCCCATGGACATGCGCAGTGGAGACAGCAGCACGGGTGGTCCGTTTTGAAAAGTACCATTGATGATGACGACAGCAAACTGTGATGCGCCCGAGAAGTAACGCTGCTCACTACGCCTGGTCAGACGGCCTGGTGCTGCCGTGGTGGAACAAAGCTGAGAAGAAAGGATTTTTAGTCACATTTGATTGTACATGGACGCCATTTGCTTCCTTGTAAAATGTGTTATGCAATTGCATGAAATGATAAATAAAGTGATTCGGAGGCCTGAACTAATATTTGGAATCCACAGACAAAATCAGAATAAGCGAAAGAAATATGGTACATGTATAGATCAAATGTTGATAAACAGACGATGGAGATGGTTAGGTCACATATGCCGCATGCCACCAGATAGTATAACCAGAACAGCTCTAAGATGGACGCCTCAGGGCAGGAGACCTAGAGGACGACCGAAGGAAACATGGCGAAGAACCATCGACAAAGAAGTGCGGAGCCATGGTTTCACTCTCGATGAGGCACCAAAGATGGCAGCGGACCGGGCCAGATGTAAGAGCTACCTTCTGCCTTAAGAGCCATGCTGGCTCAGAAGAGGACTAAATAAGTAAGTATACATGATCAAGTTCTTTTGTTGGTAAATGCCTGGTTGTCAGATGAAGTTTATTCTTACGTTTTACTTGTATCAGATAGATGGTACCGGAATCTTACTACCATAGAGCAATAATTACCTGTGCAGTGACAAGTCCCTCATGCCGGTTGTTCTCCACTGTTCCAGGACTGTCTGTACAGGTGCCATGGACATCTCTCCAAATTTCAGACCCTATGTGCAAATAGAGGGGCAGCTTGATGAGCTATATGTGACACATTTAAAATAATTACAACAGGATAATCTTCGAATTACTATCGCAGAGTGGAACTCGCTGTCACCAGGTACAGTGGGGGCACTGTCAATGGATGGCTTTAAACAATGTCTAGAGCTAGAAGTTCAAGGGTTAGGTGGAACAAGTCGATCGGTGTAATATAGCCAGCTGCCGCCGCGCCGCGTGCCTGCGAAGCTGGTGTGTTACGCCGAAAGGCGGTTATACCGGCTATACAGATACAGATACAGAATTGACTTTATCCCTCAAAACGGTTAACCAGTTTAACACCCTGACTTTACCAACACAGCTTGACTTTATCATGGAAAATTACACTCTGCGTGTTTCAAATCATTAACTCTGAGAGCATCTTGAAATCAGATTTGAAGGATCCTCTCAATCCTGATCTATGAAGGAGGCAGTTACCTGGGTCCCAAAACACCACCCTGGGTACCTCATTCCTCCGCAGTGCTGAGTCATCTACAGTAGCGGAGACTGTTAGCGGCGCATCGACTTCATCACCGCCGATGGACGACACGAAGAACGATTGACCGTACATTCTTCGAACCCTGCATAATAGACAGTCATGAATTCCTTGAGACTTTGCATCTGCTGTCATTATCTCAAAAATGATATCAGGATATGAAACCACTATCCCTGTCAAAATTATGACAAGATTTCGTGAGTTTTGGGGTATTTGCATTTTGCCCTCGAAATAGATAATACGTTAAACACCAAAAGAAATTTAAATCTTTGCTTTTACATACACACTAGATTTTCCTGATTTCCTGGTTTGAAGTTTAAATTAAAAATGAGAGGGGGAATTACACGAAAATCACATGATTTCTCGTCATAGTCTTGATTAGCAAAACGATAGACCAAAGGATAAAAATTTAAAGGGGTAAGAAATGAAGCTTAACGTGTATATATCGTAAAGAAGTTAAGAAGATACACGACTGTTCTGTAATGGGTGTCGACGCCTGGAATGGTGGAACATACTACTAACCCTAGCGGGAGGAAATCTGCCTGCAACTCTCGACGTGGCTTGGCGGCTGTTTGTACTATGTTATATCTCAACAACATCGAAACACAAAATGTACCTGTTTTTGAGGAATCTGTCCGTCTGGTGCATGGTAAATGCAGGGTTGGAGATGAAAGCTGTATTGGAAGTGTACGTCATGGAAACGTCATGATCAGTCAGGATACCGGCTCCGACAGCTTCGGGCTTAAACACACTGATGTCTTGTCCTATTGGAAAGTGTTACATTGTCAGCACAGGTCACTTATGGACAATCGTCTCCCTATATACAACCACGTCCTCCTTAAACACCACTAGTAGCAATATAAAAGTATCATAGTTTTCTGTAAGTACATTCATATATTTACAATGGCAACTTCAAAGATGCTAGTAAAGTGTGTTTAACTTCTAGCTATGGATCTGTTCTCAGACACTCAATGAGTATGTATAAAGTACATGTACATGTACATCCCTCACTTTAGGATCTGTTTGCGTTGAGGAGAAAAATCAGGCTGGTAAACTACATAATTATAGCACATGTTTTCATTAACTTCTAGCTATGGATCTGTTCTCAGACACTCAATACGTATGTATAAAGTACATGTACATGTACATCCCTCACTTTAGGATCTGTTTGCGTTGAGGAGAAAAAATCGTGCTGGTAAACTACATATATCACATGTTTTCATGATAGTGTTTTGTAATGACATACTAGATACGAAATGTAAAGTTACCTTGAGATTTTGCTATGATGACGGACGAGTTCTCAGAGCCGTCCCCAAGTACCAACGCTATGCCATCCGTAGAGACATTATTGAAAGTCAGCAGCTTATCCTGGGCCCCTAATGTGCAACAAAGAAGTATTTAGTAAGAAGAGAAGTTATTTTTTAGAAATGTAATGTCGACTTTTTGTAATTCATATCACGTGAAAGTGTCAACTTACAAAGAAGCTGTCTTCGTGAACATTTGAGTTAAACATGTCTACTGAGGAAGACCAGAGTGACTGGTCGAAAGCTCTAGGTGAGAGTAATTTTTTGTGTTAGGACCAAAAGTTTTAACTTTAAAATGTAACTACCAACACAGATGAACTTTCATGATAGTATATCTTCATTTCGTATATTTTGTGTACTTACTCAATATCGTTCGTTTCTTCACGGCGATATCCGCACACTTATGTCCGGCATGACAAGCAGTCAATCTTGTGAACAATGTCCTAAGCAGGGATACGAATACAGTGTGTTACATGATAACAATTTGTCGTTCGTTCTGAAAATCTGACGGCATTTGAGCAAAGACCGTAAGATAGGAAAGAAGGGATGAAGTTCACGAAGAAATAAGTTATTTCACCTTCCAGGTTCTACATGAAATGTATGATGTGTCTTGACGCTTGGTTCATCTGTACGACTGCGCAGGTCCGAAATGTTGACCTTTGACCTCCCAAACGACAGTTCCCTCTCGATCACGTGCACCCAGCCGGACTCGTTATACCCCACCTGTGTCTGCGGGATGACGTCATCAGGGCTGTCCGCTGACGTCCCCACACTGAACACTGAAGAATAGTGTACGGTAAACACCAACTAATTGTATCACTGACATTGGCATAAACCTGGGATTTGGATAAAATTCTGAAAACCCAAGCCATTCACTCTATTATAAATTCCATGGCATAATTGCATCATAATTGATATTGGAGTAAAATATTTCTAAGTCAATCACATACTGACCCAGAAATACGTGAAAGAAATACGACATGTATTTGTTACTGTTCAATTGTTGCGCGTTAGCAAATCCGCATAGAGTCCGGTTGTTATTAATTCATTATCACCCCTGCACCCTCCATTGTTGTTGCTCTTTCTCACTTCCTTTTAGCCAGGTGAGAACCCAAAATCAATCAGCAATGATTGTGTGAAAAGAAGCCCTTTATTTTTTAGTGCCCTTGATTGGACCTGTTGTTTTAGCTTTGGCAAGTTTTTGCACAAAACAGAAGTAGACAGTATGAATGTGGAATTTACATGTAACTAAAAGTTTGGACATTTAGCCCTGCTTCTTGGAAATGTGACTAGGAGATTAAAATATGGTACATGTATGTAGCTGTGGGTGAAAATGAGTGTATAATACCAATAATATGTCAACATGATATGGCATATTGTTGATACGCGTATTGAAATAGATAATTTTGTACATTGTGTCAAGAACGTTGTTACAACCGACATTGTAAAATAAGTTGTGGAGGACTTCCTGACCTTATGTAAATTATGATACAACCATAATGAATGACAAGAAGCAATGCATGGACGAAACGGTTCCAATTGAGCTGAAGTAAACGATGTTAGAAGATAGAACCTTACCGTAATTGTTGACAGAGTCGTCCTCTACCCTGGTCCAGGTAATGTCAATCTTCTCCTGATCACCACACAGGTCCACACCTTCGCCTCGTAATGCGGAACCTTTCTCCACAGTCTGTTCACAGGATGTTGTGGTGTTGCTGCTACTGGTGTCCGGGGGGTCAAGCAGCACCGTTACTCCTGTACATATTGGATGTAAAATCCTTTAGTTCAATAGGTATTTGTCCCTTTTAACCTCCAAACCACCGATGGGGTCGACCAGTCAAAACTGACCCAAGGCGTATATAAATATGTGCCATTTTGACATTTCTCGTCGAAAACGAAATTCCTTTTATGAGTTTACTAGTATTTATATATATGTCTTATAACGTCTCACACGTTTTTACTGAGATTGGAACATTGTTGATTGAGTTAGCCTAGAAAGTTTATGGGTGGTCCAGTGGGGTGAAAACCGACATCAACATGTTTAACCGGTGTTTTAACTCATTCGAGTCTTCTGTTGTCGTCAGATTTTCTTCCAGGTAAGATCTTTGCTTGAGTTTTCTGCTGCTATTTGAATTACCTGAACATGTCGACTCAGAAAAGTAAAAGAAAAACAACATTGTGACCTAGACCTAGTTGCCTATGGGCCTGGGGTCAAAGGTAATCGAAATGGCTGCTTGAATACATCTTGTTTCATGTGCATAAATTATGATAATGAGCAGAAATTATTAAATTATTCACACCTAATTATGTCAAATTGTCCCTCATAGATTAATGAACTAAAATACTTAGAAATCACAAAATAGAGTTGCCAAAAGCTTTATTCGTGAAAAACATTATGGGGTCAGTTTTGACCCCATTCGTCGCAAAAAAATCTACGGTGGTTTGAGGGTTAATGTAAGGCATTTCTTGCAGGGTTTGTTGAAGAAGGTCTAGTGTCGCCGGCAACAGACGGATGGACTTGATTCGTTACAATTACCAAAGTAAGTCAAGAATCGCTGGTACCAAACACGATATAAACAAGGCAAATGTTACCTAATGCTTAGTTGTGCGGGACGGTGCAACCTTTAAGAAGAAATCACTATTCTATAACTAGATGACTATAATTGCTAGATTTTCATAAAGGTTATGAATTTTACAAGTAGTTTATCAAAATATATACCATGAATTTCCAAAGTTACTATAACAGATTGACGTTTATCAAAATTAGGCAAATCATCACTGACCGCTTGTAGTTTCCTCGCTGACCAGTCCAGCACCGTTGACCAGCCTTACAGTGACGTAATAGGTCTGTTTATTGCTAAGCTTTCCATCTAACTTGTCGTTGTAGACTAAGTTTTGATCTGGTCCAACGGATGTGAAGTTTTGGACGTCCGTTTGTCCTGGGCTTGTGCCGACTGCCCATTGACACTCCACTACCTGTAAATGACGTTTAGTAAAAAGAATACGTTTTTTCATTGATACAGAGCATGTAGGAATTTAGACCTTATGGACCCAGAGTACGTACAAATTAATGACATTGTTCTATGAAGTGTGTAAACTGGACTGGAATGAATTGCATTCTCTCCCTTTACGTAATATTGTGCTGTAAGGTCTTGTATGGAATGTTATGTTATAGTATAATATAGTGTGATATGGCTACAGTATTCGTATAGTTTGGTGCGGTGTAATGATAAATAGCTGTACCTCGCTCTCTTTATCGTAGGCCTCCCAGTACACAGCAATGGTGCTGTTGTCCCCCTGGTAGCTAGTGGGCTCGTCCGGTGACCAGGACAGATCCACGTGGAACAGGTTCTCTATGACCGGCGGCGTCACGTCGATGTAGATCCCGTTAGACGACGCAATGGCTGCCCTACCAGAACCTGTAGGTAAACACAAAACATACATTGCCATGGCGACGGTGGTTGCTGTTAGGGTTATTGTTTGCATGGTACTGCCATCATTTCATGATTTTGAGGAAGACTTGGTACCTGTTAAGTCTAGACAGATACAGTACACGCCTCCCCTGAGTGTATAGTGAACGAGCCCTGGGGTCACAGAAAGAAGTGCCATCTGGGGCAGACAAGTCTTCAGGGTTCCAGGAATGTGGGCATAGATGTGGGTCAGAGAAATGCCTGTGGACATTCCGCATGCCTGTGGACAAAATGCCTGTACCATTCCTAGAATTTTTACAAATTTCACACAATACTGTACCATTAGGCTTCTCCCTGAGACGTCGCCAAAAATATCACTGGGGTAAGTTATAGGTTTCCGTATTTCTCTTTTCTTGTCGATATCTCGGTAGTAAAATTCGTAAACAAATATGTGATCCTTCAAATGTCAATTGTGCGGCTGCTGAAATGCACGAGGTTGACGTAAATAATTTTTTTAATTATGCAAAAATGGTCTATACATTCTAAGTTTTCTATCGATCCTTTTTACTAACATACCAACTAAACGACCATTGCTTTCCTAAACGATCTGCTTTCTATTCTAAAGTATTGAGGCTACTGTATGTTCCCGTTCTTTGTTAATGCTTAAAACACAACAACGTAAGTGAACTTACCGGCAACCGCCCTGACAGTGAGGTAGTACACAGCCTGTACAGTAGTGTTGGAGTCTGGTACAGATACCAGTGGCGGCAGGTCTAACCCTGTGAGATGGACCTGGTGTACGTACGTCTGGTCTTCGTCACAATCAGGATCACAACCCAGTACATCACACCGGGCATAGCACGGGATACACGGCTTAGCAACCTGGCGAGTAGACAAGGTTTGTTGTTGACGTATATAATTAGACAATCTACATTTAGTATAACGTGATATACCTCTTGAACTAGTTGCTGCCTATAGCTACTGCATAAGATACAACGTGCGTGTTCAGGTCATATCGTCAGTGCATCCACCACCGTATTGGAGTCTTTATTCTAATTTCAGTGGATGGCACAAATAGAAACCAATATGGTAAAGCTCGTTGTTGCGAAACTATCTTATAATAGTCGACATGGAAATAACTGCAATAAGATAATGATGTGTTGTACACTACAAATGTATTTTGCAGCCAGGAATATGTCCAAAGAATTTACCTCTCTGAATGATGCAATATCGTCCAGCAGTTTAGCTGAACCAACGCCGGCCTCGAACCGCACTACCGCCTGGTCGCCATTCCGGAATGGTTTCCCGTGTAAACACAAGCTAGCGGCAACTGGTGGGAGACTGGAGACAGAGAGGAGCACGATGAGTTTTCGACAAAATGAATATGGGAGAGAACACAAATTGGTTACCTGGCCTAGCTATGGGCGATAGGCAGGGAGGCACGAGTAAGATGCCAAAGTAACAAGAACGTCATGTTAGTGATGTACCTAACAGAACGGAATAAGGCGGTCGTTGTTGGTGGTTCGAACGGGTCCACCAGCTCGGGAATCCAGTCATGCCTGTTCCAGGTGCTGAGAATCAGCTTGGTTGTCGGGCTTAAGGTGGGGATTCCGGTCAGAACTGCCTTAAACTGGCCGTCGATGTACAATCGTATGGATCTGTCCACCTGGGGTTTAAGGAAGATGTGGATTTTTTAACATTTGTTACTAAAGGCTGATGATAGGTTTATATAGTCCCGATAGCATGCATTAACGCAGAACTCAAAGTTGCTAATGTATACTTTGCCAACTGCGTAATCACCACGCACCTAGCGAAGCGCCTGTATAACGCTTAGCTCCTATAGTCCTAAAAAGATACATGTAGAAGATGAATTGGTGCATTGCAGGGCCTGGAATGCACCAATCCCTCTTCTATCTCTAAATCTCTGAGACCACTGTCGATTTCACGAAGATTGTTTTTTGTGTGTGTGCTTGTGTGTGTACTCTCAAAAACTGATACCAAACCTTGGTTGCAAAGATCTTTTCCTCCATGAACTGTAAGGTGTACTTGTGCCAGGCAGCTGACGGGTCGAAGTCCAGCTTCGCAGTTTCTCCCTGTTCTGACTGGGTCCCGTTGGCAAACCGACACCACAGCCCGATGTAGCTGGGCTTGTCTGCATTTCCTGAAAAAGTAAAAAGCAGGCATAAAATCACCTCTGTTAAAGCGATATCATGATTGATATGAAAGATTTTTACTATTTCAAACATAGTTGTTTTACACATTTTCTTGCGCTATAAGCCTATCTGGGTTCATATTGACATCTGTAGAGTAAAAGATCAACGTCGTTGCGCCGCAAAATGTGTTGGAAGCTACCCGAATACCCGAATGAAATACCCGAATGAAAACTGATGTTTGTTTGAAAAGCGAAATAATAAGTTGAAAGGTATGGAAAATAACAATCTAGATGAAAATTTCAATTATCTATATTTACAGTTTTGGCACAAAAACCTTACATTATATCCAGCTGATTATATCGCTTTAATTTAAAATTAGCTTCTTTTTATTAAAACGCGATAAAACGCGTGAATATATTAACCTTCCTGACCAGATGTTGAGCTGGGAAAATATGCAGAAAAAAAGTGAACCCTATTCAAAGACTTCTAGACTTGTTCGAAGGGTTGAACGCTACCTGGATGAATCTGTAGCCCACACGATGCATATGGGGAATTTGAGTTGGGTTCGTCTTCCGTTTCATCCTTCTCAATTGTCCATTCTGGGGGAGACTCAGTCGTACTCGTCGGTTCTTCAGTTGAAGTGTTTGGTTCACTTGAAGGGCTGGTACAAGTACAGTTACAATCGCCTAGAAAAGTACAAGAGGAACTTGCGTTAGAAAATGATGGTTGGTGAACACCGACCGTATTTATAAGTCGTACATAGAGAGAGAAATGTATCAACATTCTGATAAACAAAAGCGTTTGAGAAACACTTTTTTTTACATCAGAACTCCGATACGTGTATGATTAACTACACTACAAGATTGTCCTTGTTGGATACTTACTTGTTACATTGGTAGATGTAACGTTGCCATTAGTTCCTGTACTGTCACTCCCTGGCTGGCAACAGCTGCAGTTCCCACTGCTGCTGGGGAAAAGGACTTCCTTTTGTTCAAGGCTCATTTCATTGTGATCTCCGACCACGCCCTCCGGTCCGTCCCAAAACACGACACTGGTGACAGCCTGGAGCTCGCCACTGGCAGCGATAATGTCCATCTGAAGAAGTCATCAGTTAAACATTGTAATACTGTCACAGAAACTTTCAACATGCTTCTACCATGCCCCGCAACTCTGTATCTGTTTATCTTGGTCAATATGTAAATAATGGTATACAAAATAAAAAAAAGAAAACGTGTCATCCCAATGTGAAATGTGATATTCCATCATAACATGCACATGTATTGATATTGATAAAGTTAGATTAGTATGCTAGTAGAAATACTTAATCAAGTATTATTTGCTACGCACGGTTTCCGATGCAACTGTTGCACAATAAACCTGACTATATCCCGTAGTCTAGTTATATGATCCTTGGTGCACTACATAATATCACATCTGAATGTCTGAAAACCAGTTTTCTGCACGCTTCGCAGTGTTATGTCCTTAATTTCTATTTCTATGAATTTCTATTCTCTGATAAATCCATTTTTTGCAGTCTCTTCAAAATCTCTCCTTGTACTGTTCCTTGCATAATTGTCATGCATGACATATAGCCAGTATAACAAGCGTTTTCTCACCTCGTACTGCCCCGTTATGCTTCCATCCACTTCAGTAGAGTAGGCTCCTGACATCATCCTCTCGTACTCAATATCACGTGTCAGGCGGACTGACAGACCCTCGTCTTCGTCAAACGAAATCTGGGGAGAGATACAATAGTCACAATCTGATCATGAAATGTATCCTTGATGGAGAAGAGTTTATCTACACGCTAATAAGGGTACTGTCTCAATCCAATGCCCTTTTATATGATTCGGTCGCAACGGCCTGAACCACGAAGACACGACCATATTTCTGAAATACAACCTCTGAAGAGAATTCTTTAATATCTTAACATATCAACTGAGTTAAAAATATAGGCCACCGTATTAGATATTGCAACATGACGTTTTAATAATTAATTAATTGACAAATTAATCCATTGGTTCACATCAGGCTACATACGTGTTCAGCGTCAAATATAATCCGTCTTTCTCCCGTCACTCCCCGCAGCCCCGTCGTCTGTAAAGCTGACCAGCTGTCGTACATTTCGTTCATAGAAAATGTCCTTTTGGGGCAAGGGTCCCCCACCGGGTTAGGATGGTGTAAAATCACACCTGGAAAATGAAAAATACAATTGTTCATTCATCTAAAAGGGACCCATTTCAAACGCAAATTAGAAAATCTCTTATGATATTTAGGAGATGCTTTGGCTTTCATTAGAAAAACTAATCCGCTCGTCTTTGACAGGAGACTGGAAGTGTGTTGAGGTCTTTAGCACACCGAACCTGTTGAAGTGATGGATATTAGATAACTGTTATCACAGGCAGGATTTGGTGCAGTCTTGTGTAGATAGAGGATTCAAAGCAAAGTGTTTCCCTGTGGAGGCAGGGACTAGAGGGTTTATTTGTCCGTACTGAAGTAACAATGGAGGTAGTGGAAGAAGCAGAGAAGGCATTCCATTGGTTGCGGTTCAGAAGCAAAGACAAGGAAGAAAAAGTCCTCGGCTGATAGCGTCTGGCCATTACTGTGGCCCCGCCTTCCAGAGGGACTACTGTTGTAAGGGGTCAAAACCAGCAATAAAGCCGAGGTGCGGTGACTCACATTGTGTTAGGCAAGAGAATACACCTCTAAAGAAATGTGGTTATGTTTGTATCTTTTGAAGTATCTTTGTGTTGTCTTTGGGGAATCGAAGGTTCAGATTATTACCTTTCATTTCTGTCAAGGAGCTCTGGTGAGTCGCGTCGCTTTTAAAGTCGAGTCCGTCCTTAACGTCCCCAGCGGCCGGGTCCAGCCGGTCCAGTAGGATGGGCGGGGTGGTGGACTCCGTCACCAGGTCTGCTCGGTTGATGGCACGGAAGGTTATGTAGTATGGGGTGTCGGCCTGCAATGGGGGGAAGTGTTTGGAAGAAATAGATAATTCCTAAAGACTCCATGTGATTTTCTATGCAATGTATACAACACATATTCACATTCATAAGTCCGATTTAATGTAGCAAAACCCACCTGTCACTGCACATGTAATGGTGATACTTAGACAGAGATGCTAAGTGCAATGTCTACTTCTCTTACATATAAGTAAATATCGTACCAGACACTTTTTAGTGTAAAATAAATGGTAAAATGGAAGTTATATATGAACTAAACATTAGGAAATCCCAACTCCCCTATATAGACAGCGCACAAAACTAGTTATACAAACTGTAATACCTTCAAGTCAATGCCTACAAACATGTAGGATGACTGGTTGGAGGCGACGGGAACGAAATCCACTTCAACAGTAAGTCGGTCTTTGTCATGTAACAGGCAGTCACCACCCGACAGCAAGGCGACTTCAAACTGGGCTATGCCACTCGTATTGTCATGGTAACCATCCCATAGTACTTCCATCCGGTCAGACAAAGCTGTGTACATGACGTTCTAGTAAAGAAAAAAATGCAAACGACATTTGTTTTTTGTTCAAGTGAGATGATAACGAAGAGAATACATGTAAGGAGCCCGCCCTATCACTATAATTAGCGTCGACAGTCGATCACAAGTAATGAAGAGTGACATATCTTTATTGAACACAGCACAACTAACAACCGGCGTACCTCGTCCTTGGGCCGGCAGTATAGTGTTACGGTATATCAAAATAGCTGATACTGTGATAGGTTCCAGAGATCCGGCCAGTTATGAATGAAATCTGATCAGAATGTAGCCGTTGAGGGAAACCATATGGCAGAATGAAATGCCTCCTCAAGGCTTTAGCAGTAGTCACTGCGGTTTGGTTCCTGGTGGGAACTGCCACTACATACTTTGTGAAATAGTCCGTAATTACTAACACGTGCTCATGGCCACTGGAGGATTTCTCCAATGTCAGATAATCCATAGCGACTAACTCTAGGGGTGCTGTGGCTTTCACGTTAGCTAGTGGAGGTTTTGCGTGAGGGACGGGGGTTTGGGTTGTGTTATACTCCTTGCTTCCCCACAGTTCCATCTCGACCCTCGAGCGAGGCGGAGGGCCTGCGGGATGGAAGCGCCAGGACGGCGGCCGGATCGGCCGGAGGCGAGTATATACGTAATACATCAAGAGAAGGACGCTGACAACTCCAACATCATAAAAGGACTGGTCCCTGGCGTGCGAGCCAGAGCGGAGCTGATAACAGCGCAGACGCAACTACCGCCGAAGAAACACAACAAAAATGGCAACGGCTGAGGAGATGGAAGACTGGGACCCCGAAGAGCCGGGGCCCGCCCGAGGAAAACTGGGACCCAGGCGCGAAAGAGCAGGAGAAGACGGTCGGGGAAGATAATGCTACGACCCGGCGTGCCCGGTCACCAACCCCGACGGGACGTCCTGGGCGGAGCGCGCCCAACACGCCGGGGTGAACACCTGGGTGGTCAACCCCCGACACATGAGGGAGGTGTACGCCCGCTACCTGATGGAGCGGGAGTACGCCTACCTTCGGTACAAGAAGGGAGAAGTAGAGAGAAACGTCCGAGGCCTCCGCCGAGTCATCGGACTGTTGAAGAAGGAGGAGGCGGGGGCCCCGGAAACCAGGTGCCTCTACAACTATTTGTGGGAGTACATTCCGGGGCGCCGGGACATCCCGGTCCCGGAGCCAGATCCACGGAGCCACGCAATGGAGGCGTTTGTGTCGTCCTGGCGGCCGCATCCCCGGTTTAACATCGTGGAACGTATCAACAAGCTGCGGGAACGGGTCAGCACCCTCGAATTCCTGATGTGCCGGCTGCAGGCTATCGTCCGACACAAGCTCCGACCAGAGGCGCTAGGCGCACGGAGGCACGACGAACTGTGCCGCATCGCGTCCTACCAGTACACCCCCCCCCCTAGGCCCTACGAACTAACCTGGAACGAGCCGCTGATGCGACGCTGGGAGCTCCGGTCGTATCCAGACCCCCTTCCCCGTTACGAGGAGTGGTCCCGGGGATTCAAGGACTAGAATATATGTGTGGACGTTTGTATGTGGACTCAATCCAAAGTACAAGTTTCCCCCAGGGTCGGCTGAGGAGGTAGGATGTATGATGTATTTTTTTTGTATTTGGTAAAGTACGAAAATTGTTAACTGTAAGAAATTGGCCCCCCAAAACCGATGCAGGAAGCCGGGGTTTTAAGTGGGTGACCCCCAGGGGGTTGCGACCCTGCCCGTAGTCCAGCTACACGGCTGTAGAACCCCGTCTGAGGTTGGATCCTTTGTTCTGGATCCAACACATGGCAAGACTCAAAGTTCTTAGCTCGTACACCTTTTCTTGCTATGTTAGTTCTAGGATAGCCTGTGATTTATTTTAGGGGATCGAGTTGAATTTGTTGTTCCCAGTTTGTTGTTGAAAACCAGGATATTCCTGTATGAGATAGTAGCGTAGGAAGATGTACTGTGTCCTAGTAGTGGGCAAGTACGATGTGCTGTTACACCCTTCATCTGCTGTTGTGGTGAAGGTTGATCCCCTCCGCCGCCGTACGATGAATAGACAAGACAAGTAATGGACAAGATGAATATGTAATGCAGTTGTGTACCGAATGTTAGGGTTCCTGGTTGAGATAGTATACGACTGGAACTGTAGGATCTGATTTTTTACGATTGCTCGGACTAGCCGAGATCAGGCACGATTCGGTTTTTTAATGGCTGAATCGATCCTGGTCCTTCCAATGTTATGATTTGACTGTGATTTCCGAGGTCTCTACGTTCTAAAGAATGTGACGGGCGTGTCATGCCTGTACTTAGCATCTCCAGTATCTCCAACAGTGATATTTCCGTTAGGGTTTCCTGTGTCTGTGTCGAGCACCTGGGGACAGTGGTATGTCTGCCTCCTCGATGGTGGCTCTTCACTCTGTATATCTAGCGGAAGGACCGAATCCCTCCGCCCTATGAATGTAGTATTGATGAGTCTATTGTACGTTAAAATGATCCGTGATACAATGATGTGACTGTTGATAGGTGACAGCAGATGTTGATACGATGTTGATAGATGATAGTGTAGTGAAACTGATGTGTGAAGTCTTATTGAACTGTTAGCCCGATCCGGGATGAGCCAAGTTTTCAGTGTATTTTTGTAGGGACCAATACGATGGTTTATATACTCTAGTAGTATTAGATGTTGGAATATGATTGATATTGCACGAGCACACGTTTGTACTTTTGTATTCATTTATATACTAACACGAGTTGTAAGGCGACATGGTGGATGTAACCCGAGATGAGCGTAGCTGCGTCGAGGACGTCACTTGTGTACAGCAAGGGGGGATGTAAGGAGCCCGCCCTTTCACTATAATTAGCGTCGACAGTCGATCACAAGTAATGAAGAGTGACATATCTTTATTGAACACAGCACGACTAACAACCGGCGTAGGTACCCTTGGGCCGGCAGTATAGTGTCACGTTATATCAAAATAGCTCAAACTCTACTCCGTATACAGCCGTTGGCAGGCTTGTTCTTTCTCCAAATTCGATCCGTTATTGATACTAAGAGTGGGAACAACGTTTTACAGGGGTTTCCCCGCTTGTAACTTTGATTGTGCAAAGGACATGAACTCGACAAAGGTTAATCCAAAGGTTAGGCCGTGATCCCAGGATAACAATTATTTAATGAACTAAAACTCATGTTTCTCTCCCAAATGTCTGTTCAATTGATAAGAGACTTTTGATTTTGATAAATGATTTCTGTCAAATTACTAGAGTTTTGGCCAATCGGCTATCACAATTTCTGATGAGAATAACCAAATTTGGAAGAGGGAGGAACCCCGATTTTGAGGAGATAAAAGAAGGAAAACATTAGCAATCAGGGAGAAAGTAACTCCGTCGGACACCACGAGCACGGGAACCCTGAATCACCGAAGTCAGCCTGGGCCACCGAATCTAGAACTTTTCCGGGCCAGAGCCAACCAGGGGTTTCCCAGAAATCCGCGGAGAAGGAATGGGAAACTACCGTCACAACTACTGTCACTCAGCGCCATCTCGCGGGTGTGTGCTTCGCTGTAACAACTAGGGTCTTCAGCAGAATAAACCTGTCCCGTCGCAACGAACTTGTCGGAGACTGCGTGCCTTCCCTCGACCTCACACACAGCAACTTTACGGCTCGGGAGACTCTGTCTAACGACCGGAAACTACGCCAAACCTTACATACACTCAACCAACTATGTCATTGATCTATAGGGGACACATTGGTGAAAATCTACATCAATCCAGGGTAACCGCAGCCCTTGTTGATTTTCTGTATTCCTGTCCTGTGGGTCCGTGATGATGGAGACAGCTCTGATTAATTGCTTACGTCACGTATCAGTAAAGTCTCGTGTGAATAGGATCATGTGTCTGTAACCGTAACTCTCGCGAAATCACGTTTTGAAGTGATAGGTCATTAACTGTCCTGATGAAGGAGACAGTGGTCGCTGAAAATTTTATCTCTGTAACTTTGTGTTGGAATAATGTTCAACGTTTTACTATGTCCGTAATATGTCAAGAAAGTTTGCGTTAGTGCGTAATGCTCTGCTTTATGGCCTTACCATGTCTGCGGGTGATCCGACAAACACACGTCCTTCTACCGGGGGGCTGGTGTCAATGGTGACGTCAGCCAGGGCCATGGCGCACTGCGCAGCCTCGTCAGTTGCCACGACAACCACGTGATACGTCTGGCCATGTTGTAACTCCAGCCCTTCGTACTGAGCCATGGTGTCCCTGCCCACTTTCGTCAGAGGGTAGACGTCAAATAAATGGGCGTGTTCCTCACTGATCACGGAGTACCCCTCTTTGCCAAAGTTTTGCTGGAAATCGGTGGCAAAATTGCGAAAATGAATAGATAAATAATATACGGATGATATTTTCTTTTCATGTCAACAACAACATGGTGTTTACATATGGCTTCACAGCCGAATCTGGAAAGTTTACCTGCCAACTTCAAGGTTTAACCGTTCAACATGGCGGACAATACTTACATCATATTCACGTGAGTACAAACACTATTGGGTGGGAATGATGACATGTAGAAATTTAGTAATGATTCTTTACCAAGTCTAGACAGTCCATATCCTCCAATTTTGTCCGGTTGGATGTTATGCCCCACTGGTACAGGAGAATGGGCATGGTGAATTCAAAATCACTCCAGGCCACCGTGATATTTGCGTTGGAAGAGATATATCTGTGGATAAGGAAAGGCATACTGGGATTTAGCAATGTAATCAAGGTGGTAAAATTCGGGCCCCAATCAATGTCCCCACCTGCTTTAGAACCCGAACCGTGTTCGATCTTACTTCATTCGAACCGAACGGCGTTCGATCAAGGTAAAAAAAAAAATCAGTTTTTCACCTATTTGTCGACAAAAACTATACATAAAGTCGGAAATTTCAAAAAAAATCCATAAAACATGATTTTTCATATTATTCCTAGTCGTCGAAAAATATAAAAATCAGTGATCATGCGTAATATATGTAGCCACATTTGAACGATGATTGGCTATAATATGGCGCTCCGAAATCCCGAAAATTATCGACTTTTCTAACTAAATCCAACAAAATCACCCATTTTGCGCAACAATTACCATTGAATGTATGTAAAGACGATGGTTTTATTTTATTTAAACAAAATTTTCCCTTCGATACAATTTTGTTTATTTTCAAATGTTTTACAGTTAGCCCAAAATTGCGTCTTGTAACCCGATACGTTTTAAAATGCCCCCAGCAATGGGAAAGAATGCCGTAGTGACAGACCGCCCTGAATGGAGCCTTGTTCATATACGAGTTAGCAAATAACTGCAACCAAGCTAGTTGGAGGTACAGCATACTACAAGGTTGTCACGTACCTTGGTATTTGTACCTCCCCATGAGATATGATGTCACCGCCGAATCCCACCCGGATACCGTTTGACGTCACTTCCGTCGTGGATGAGGCAAGACTGACAGCCCTGACAGTGACGTAGTAAATGCCTGTCCTCGGGATGAGCTGGAGGTACTCAAAAGTGACGGTCTTGTTCCGCCCGACATTGACGAACGGACGGATGTTAGTTCGGGTGCTTGGGTACCGTCTGTCTGTCCCCACTGCTACTTCGTAATGGTCTATGATTTGGTGGTCTCCAATCTCAACAGCCTCCCCTTTAATTTGAAAAAGGAGTAGTTGTTATGATAGCATGTGTTTTTATTTATGAACGGTATCAAAGCAATGAACTTTAAGAATAAAATCTTCGAAGATATTTGCATTTCACCTACAATACAATAGCTGGATTGAACAAAGTTATAAACATGTAGCTAGGAGGACTAAATATTCACTATAAAAGCTGTTAAAATACAGTAAGTCTTACCGTTAATTGCAGCGTCGTTCCCGAGGCCGTACTCCTTCCCGAAACTGTCCCAGTTGGCCGATAGCGTTGTTACGGACTGTTGATATGACAGGTCGAACCCTATGATAGGACCGTCCCACACTACCCCGGGAACGAGTGGCTCCAGCTTGACTGTGACGCCATCAGACCTGACGGAGTAGCTGTAGCCCAGCTGGTTGGTTGCCCTGACAACGGTGTAGTACGTCTCACCGTCAAGGAGGTTGAACTCGTCCAAGGTGGCACGGTCAGCACCTAAATAAAGATTTGTTTTTTAATTTTTTAAACAAAGGCGCTACAGTACTGCTTTTACTATATAATCTTTTAACTTAAAATGATGCAACTTACTCAAACTTACATTAGAGACACCCAGCGCTTCTAGCTCTGCTTAACATTCTTTAACAGGATCATTTGGGCCACACTAATTTAATTTTATGGATTTTTTTATGGGTTCACCACACCACGAAGTGGTGGTGAACCCATATTGCTTTTTCTGATGTTTCTCCTTCTCCTGCCATTTCTTTAAATGGATTCAGCTTCTTCATTTTAGGGCCTAAGGTCCTGAAATTTGGTATGGAGGTACAGTGGGCAAATACCCCTAGGCGTTTTTTAAATTTTTGTGATACAAGCTTTTACAATCGTTTTATTTGCTTTTTTAGCGGTCCCCATAGGAAAGTACTGTGCGGGGGCGTACGCGCGTGACGTAATAAGAAAGAAATTCGGCGGCATGCCCATATATGGGCATGCAAGCATGAACCTGACGCAGCCTAATCTTTTCTTCTTGCTGATTGGCTGTTGGATTTGATTGGATTAACTCAATTAACACCTGTTCAAAGCCATTCCATTTTGACAGTATGAACTCAAGTGTTTTGGTAGGTACAGCACAGGCCACGAAATACGCATCAATTTTCGAGGGACGTTCTGCGGGAGAGTGCAGGACGCTGTGCGGGACTTCCCTCGGGAGAGTGCGGGACGTCCTCCGGGAGAGTGCGATACGTTCTGCGGGAGAGTGCGGTACGTCCAGCGGGAGAGTGCGGTACGTTCTGCGGGAGCCAGACATTTTGCTCTTCTCTGTTGGAACAACGCAAGTTGGAGGTCAATGACCTGCGCCCGGCGTGTAAACAAGATTGGACAGGGAGCGGCTGTAATATCAAAGGAGCCGGCGGCTTCTGCTAGCCGGGTTGATAGTTAAGTAACATCAAGGTGGTTCAAAAGCAAACCTGATAAAGAAGGAAACCCCGTAGTTAATAGTTGAAAGTCTTGGTGGCTTGAGGCGATCGATACCGCCATGCTGTTTACTTTTTATGACAAACAATGCAGTGAGTGATGTGTATCGCACCGAGTTAGCTCGGTTGGAAACGCGCAAGGCGGCAATCCCAGGCATTGCAAGTTCGAACCCCAGTGCATCGGACATAAATATTTTTAGCAATTTAACATTTTTAACAATTTTATAATTTTTAACAATTTTATCAGTTTTAACGATTTTAACAATTCTGCATTTTAACAATTACAACATTTTTTTTTATTTTCGTTGTTTTGCTTTTAACATTCAAAAACTTACTCAAGAATGTCAATAACTTAGAATGTTAGTCTTTTGTATTTTTCCAACATACAAACTAAAATCACTTTGATGTTGTCACAAAAGTATTGAGCTGACAAGAGAGAAGGAGTACGGTACTCTGCCAGTGTGAAGAATCTACAGAGGTATTACCAGTCACTAGTAGCAAGAGATAGACCACATTGAATGATGACGATGAGGACGAATCATATGAAGTACTATCATAGCTAGTACAGAAATTCTACTGCTTTCCTTTACTTTCTTTCACTCTGTACATGCAATTAGCTCACTGGCATGATTTTAAAAATAAAGGTTATGATAATCATATTATATGTATAGCTTATTCAATGTATGGCTTCATAGTTTATGTGATTGTTAATAACACCTGCACAGAGCATTTCCATACTGACAGTATGTCTTTATTCAAGTGTTTTGGTAGGTATTTCAAGCTTTTCTGCTCCAGCATTGGAATGCGGGGCATGAACGTTTTTTTTATTTTGAAAATCAACAGTTTGCATTATGCAATTAAAAATCCTAACCAATAAAGTAGGGAATAGCTATCCAACTGTTGTTTTAGTTGTATGTTACTTCATTTTATAGTTATATCAATGTAAATCATTGTTTTCCCTTGTGTTTACTCATTCTTTCCCTGCCATGTCGTAAAATGTGGTGAACCCATCGCTGTATTTGCTCCAAAGCAAATATTGGCCTTTCTAGTGTGAACATTGATTTCGCTTGTTCTCAAAAAAAAAAAAAAGAATCACCTCCTCCGAGGCTCTGGCCTGGGTACCAACCTCCATATATAGTCCATGTTATCTTGATCTAGTGACAATAGGGTGCCGGATTTCTAATTTGTAAATTGTTGAGTTTCACTTTACAAGGTAGGATATATTTGTTATGACCACTTGGACTAGTCTAATACATGTAGTAAGAGAGGGGTGTTTCCTGGCTTGACTTTAATATCGCTACAGGATATATTATGCAAAAGTTTGAAATTAAATGCATTGGTTTTTCTGACTCAGGGAGAGAAATTGCTGTTCCAGGAACATCATTAAGTGCAGTGACTAAAAATGCCCCCCCCCCACTGTTAAAAACATTGATTCATTTACGTTCATCATGCTAAGTTTACCTGGAGACAACTCGGTAAGTGGCCAGATCTCCAGCCCGTCCAGCCTGACCACAGACCACTCCGTCCGCACGGAGGGACAGGGGTCGCCGCTGAGGTCCCAGTGCGCGCTGATCTCGTCGTTGTGGCTCTGGTAGTCTCTGGTTATAAAATTAAAGATAGAGGTCAAGGTATAAATCATATTACGTCGATGAAGGTTTATTGAGGAAAAGCTCTCCTTTAGCTGCCCACCCGAGGGTGGCAGCTATTCTTCCAGGAGAGGGTACATACATGTAAGACATAACAATACATCACGTACAATTACATATACATTTACATTACATAGCTATCTAAAAGAAACAAATGTGTAACATCGTATGGGCTCTATCTATTCATGTCCCTCATGTGTTTTAGTAGGCCTTGTTTGAACTTCTTATGTGATGCCACTGTTTGCAGCCCATGTGGTAGAGAGTTCCATGCTGCAGTAGTTCTGTATGTGAAGGCTTTTTTAGTGCTGTTTGTTTTTGGTTTGTCTAGTTTGAAGGTGTTCCGAGTAGCATATCTGGTTCTGTAAGTATGTTGATGTGATACCGGGCACAGTTGATTGTAGAGTATGGCTGGTTGTTTGGCATCCAGGTAATGCGATACGCCAAAAAGCAGTTACTCAGGCAACTGAATATGATTTTGGAAAGGCAGAGGAGAAATGCAGTTTTTTCGACTTCCGAAAAATTGTCTTCACTTTATTTGCATATCAATGAATAGTTAGGGCTTATAAACCTGCATTTCTCCTCTGGTCTCTCAGTCACTAACAAAGCTAGTGGATACCAACTGAAACGTCCAAAATCATATGCAGTTGCTTGAGTAACTGCTTTTTGGAAAATGTCGAAGAGTCTGTCCGTTGTTCTAGTCGTAACAGATCAAATAACAAATGCTCGCTTTCATGCATGTATCTTTTACAGCCAAGAGTATACAAATACTAATATGTAGCAAGATTTTAAGTCTTGAACTAGAAAATGGAAAAAAATATATCTTACACGTCGCCTCGACCGTAGTCCCCATCGTTTACAACAAGCGGCTTGAGAGGAGGTAACCCTGCACTGATTTTACTGATGTAAACACCGTTAGACACGGCTACACTGGACAGCCCTGCCGCGTTGTGCCCTCTCACTGTTACAAAGACCTTCAGAGAAAATAAAAATCAAATCTATAAATATGTCTAATCAACTGTCAAATCTATGTCTATAAATATTCCCTCTTCCCCCGCACAATCCCACAATGGAACGCCTTGCCTGGCCCGGTAACCATGGCTCCCACCATTGAGTCCTTCCGGGCCAGGCTGGAGGCCTGCCCGCCTTAGACCAAGCCCTCCCCCCCCCCTAAAGTGCCCCAACAGGGGCTATATGGGGGTGTAGCCGGGGCTTGTACAACATCCTAGAGCCCCGGCAAAGATGAAGATGAAAAAATCAAATCAAATAAAAATGCCAGGTATATCTACCTCTCCCTTCGGGAAGATGACAGGACATACATATCAACATTTGTTTTCATAGTAGCCGACATAGCAACGAATGGATGATATAACATCACCTTTGTGGATAAACTACATACTAGACGATGACATTCAAATTAGAAATTCAAAGATGATGAGACATTTACAGATACAAATTCTTAGTGCCTGCAGTGTCTTGAAGAGGGGGGTCTTACAAAGAGTGTAAAACCGAACAGTACCTGTCTAATGTCGGACAGGTCCAAGTTGTTCACAACAAAGAAACAGGTGTCAGGATCGGGAACTTGTCGGAAGCTGCGCAGGTCTGCCCCTCCGCGTACAGTACCCACCGCGACTTCGTACCTGGAATGTACCCGTTATAGCTTGAAGTGATATAGCTTATATTTTCCAGCGTCTCAAAAAAAACATTATTTGGTATTTTTCTGGCATATCATATTTTACATACAAATCAATTTTCACCAAAAAATGTTCATGTTTAATATCTTTTCCAGGCCTTTTAGATTTAGTCCCAAGGTGTGAGGTCAAATCTGATAACGCCATTTGGTCACGGAATAACAAAAAGAAAGCTCTCACACAGACTTGCTATCGTATATCAAAATAAACTTTGGTTATCACAGATTTTAAAAAAATCAATGGTATAGCATTGGTCCTTCTCGGTGGTACAAAAACAGTCCCATAGACTACATATATTGTTTATTTCTTTATCTATTTATTAACAGTCCATACATATGTATTTCAGTGTCTCTTACTCACTGGTTAGATACTTGTACCTCCGACATTTTGATATGGAATCATAGTCAGAATGTTTGATATGTTCCCATCCTTGTTTGTAGTAAAAGAAAAGGAAAGAACATAATCTACCTGGTTATTGGTGTCTCTGGGTCCATGAATGGTTGCCAGGCAACGGCAACTTGAGTGACAGAAGCCTGACACACTGCATCCATCTCCTGGCAGTCTGAAATAATCAGAACATATTTTTGTCATGTCTTTGAGCGTCCTCCTCCAATGTAATTCTGTATTAATTTAGCGACACTTTTAAACCTATACTATCATGAAAGTTCATCTGTGTTGGTAGTTACATGTTCTCTCACCTAGAGCTTTCGACCAGTGACTGGTCGAAAGCTCTAGGTGAGAGAATTTTTTGTGTTGGACCAAAAGTTTTAACTTTAAACTTTTAAACCCAGCTGTTCATAATTCGTGGGGTTTATACTCCTTGTAAGAATGTCAACAGATGCAACACAGGAGCTGTTGCTAAGTTACCTTCTGTGTTGTAGCACTTTCCTTTGCCATCTGAGTCATCTCCCAGTAAATCAGCGTGGTAGATACTGTCCAGTTCCACCACGGTCCCGGGAACAGGCGGCGTGTCGTCGATGACGATTGCCTCAGAGTAGGCTGATGTCTTCCCTCCTACAGCGCTGTAGGCGATTACTGTGGCGTAGTAGCTTTCCTGGTGACGTAAAAATTGCCCTGCGAAACCTGGACACATGTACATAATAAAAATTAAGATTATGTGTTTGTGTTTCCCCGCAAGTAGATATTTCGCTTCTCTTCTTCGCAAGCTCCAAAGAGAACTATGTTTCCCGTCTATTCCACAGACAAACACACACAATTAGGGTAGTGAGCTCACCGTCACGAAGATGATATCCTTAATTAGTATATATCTATATCAGTTATTGCGGTGAAAATGCGTTTAATGAAGTTCCTACAGTTTTTGAAACGTTTCCGCCACACTCTGTTCATGTCATTTATAAGATGTCGAATGCCGTTATCTCCTAATATGAGTAGTTTTAGAATTCCCATCTCATCTAACATTGTAATGATTAAGCCGTTTGGTCATCACTGAACATCTTACAACTAGATTTCCCAATCATCTCGGTTTTCTTTTTAACACTCTTTTGTGTATAAATCTGTTTCCATGTGTGCGAACCTTTTGCCTTGAACCTGTCAGCTGTTCCCGACAGTCTTGTGAACGGAAAGACGGAGTCGTCCCCCTCCTCCGTGCCGACCCCGAACAGGAAGTGGTCGATGAAGCTCTGGTCGTCCCGGAAGCCGTACCAGGTACACTGTAACTCGTCCGTCCCCGGGATGTGACGCGGGCAGATGACGTGACCAGCCACGGGTGGGGTGGAGTCCACGGTCAGACTCGCGGAATGGGTGACAGTGCGGAGGCCGACCTGGAATGTTGTTTCAAGTTATTATTTTTGTTTACTTTATTAAGATTTACCACATTTGTGGAAGGATTGACGTAACAGATGACTATCACCTCTTTAAGATGTTAATTATATAAACCTGAGACCGGATTGTAAAGTTTGGATCACTCACACAGGGAAGAACCCCTGCTATTTTTGTTATGTAGTTCAATGTGTGGCTGTCCCGAACACGGGACCTCCGGCAGTATGTCGGCAAATATGCTACGTCAACAAATTTTGAGACACATTGATGGTGTAAAAGACAGAGTGGAATGAAATAAAGAAAGACTGATTGCAACTAGAGGTTGTTTCAACATAAAACTACACTGAGGTGCAGAACACAGTGCATCATCCACATCTGCTAAGTACTATTGAAACGACTTACCTACGCCAATATAGCATGTAGTTAAAACTTACTGAGTTTATTGCTGTAAGGCTGAGAATGTTGGGCCGCCCCTGTGACGAGGGATGCACAAGTCCGTTCGGCACAGACGTCCTCTGACTCGTCACAGTCCGGTTATACACGTCGTGGCTGCCGGGGAACGTCCCGTACTTAAAAGTAGCGAACACCACGTCACTCTCCTCCTCTGTATACCCCCACTCCGCTGTGATGTAGTCCGCTGACAGCTGGTAAAGGGACACGTCTGGCCCGAAGGCGTACTCTTCATCCTCTGACGTGACACCGAAACCGAGGAAGTCGACGTGAGGAGGTGTGACGTCTACAGTGAAGCCGTCTGATGCCGACTCTAGCACGTTCCCGGCGCCTGTGATGGCCCGCACGGTGGTGTAGTAGAGCTGGCCTGGCTGGAGGGGCAGCAGGGATTGTGCGTGGCCTTCACCGCCAATTCCTGTGAAGTGTTACGAATATTAATGATTACCGAAGTAAAGACTTGTTTGCACTGAAGTAAAGACTTGTTTTTCAACGAACTTCAACAAACGGGAATGAATGAGATAATATAAACAGGACAATACGATAACGGTAATGTGTTCTTAAGCTTGACAAGCACATATAATTTGTCTGACCTCCTTAGTGATTTTGAGTTACACGTTGCGCAAAAGTAACAGTGAAAAGTCTTTCTTTCATTACACAATTAGTAAAACATGAGGAGTAGCTCACAGTAATATATGGTCTTGCCAATGAACCTTATTTGTGCTTCATAGCATCTCACCTTCCACGTTTGCGTTGTCATTATACGTCACGATGCCTGCCGATGAGTAGGGCTGGACGTCATCCCAGAGCGCTGCAGTGCCGATCGCCCACTCGTAGTGCACGATGCCATGCCTGGCGCTCTCGAACCCCTATTGCAAATAGAAAATGACTCGTTTTGTTCGCGAAGATGTCTTCAATGCAAGCTAAACGCAAGCAAGCTTTAGCAACCACAAAAATCCATCCGTATCTGGGCGTCACGCTGACAAGCGGACTGAAGTGGGGTGCACATGTTAATAATATCACAACTAAGGCGAAACAGACATTGGGAGTGATTAAACGTAATATGTGGGCATGTCCAACTAGAGTAAAATCACTTGCATACACGTCACTTGTAAGACCGAACCTAGAATATGCTGCGACAGTATGGGATCCATATACAAAGAAAGACAAAGACAAATTGGAAAGGGTACAGAATCAAGCTGCAAGATTCTGTATGAACAACTATGAAAGAGGTGCTAGTGTCACGGAAATGAAAAGAAACCTACAGTGGACCTCACTGGAAGACAGAAGAAAGATGTCCAGACTATGCATGATGTACAAAATGACTAACAAACTGGTGGATGTCCCAACTACTACGTACCTAATACCAGCCCAGAAGAGAACAAGAAATAGCCATGCATTCAAGTACCAGAGGTATCAACCAAGGATTGAGGTGTTCAAGAATTCATTCTTTCCTAGAACTATCGCAGAGTGGAACTCACTTTCACCAAGTACAGTAGGGGCATTGTCAATAGATAGCTTTAAACAATGTCTAGAGCTAGAAGTTCAAGGGTTAGGTGTAACAAGTCGATCGGTGTAATATAGCCAGCTGCCGCCGCGCCGCGCGCCGCGGAAGGCGGTTATACCAGCTATACAGATACAGATAAAACTATCTTGGAAAATTTCTATGCACCATGATCTTCAGGCACTTCTGAACTTCTCCAAAAAAAAAACATCCTGTCTTTATTTATATAATTAGGGCACATTTATTAAGACTTTACCAACTGTTTAGTTAACTAATACTTGTGTTTACCGAATGAAACATCTTGGTTTTGCTCTGTTTCTCCTTTCTCTTCTTCTCAAAAGGGATAAGGTCAATGACCTGAACCAGACGTCTGCCACTATAGTAACTAGTGTTGGGTTACATAATGTTGCAATTTCATGACAGGGAGGATTTAGACTTCTGTCACCATATATGTGAATGTCTTTGAGTGAAAATTAAGATTGCGGGCCATATTCGAAGGTGAACATTATGTATTTGCAAAGGTTGTAAATGTTTTGTCCCTGACCTTGAAGCGCACAGTGACAGTGCCCGTGTATAGTTGATAGTCGACATCTATTGTTGCTACGTCATCGTCCTCACTGTCCGCCATGCGCGGGCCGTCCACCACCACTCCCGTCTTGTCACCGGGGACGACCTTAATGGGACTGAGATAAAAGTGGCATTGATTGATGAGTTTGACTATTCTAATGGCCTATTACTAGACTATTACAACGGCCTGGGTGGCCAGTGTATTGTCCTGTTACAATTGAAATAAAATAAAATAAAATAAAATAAAATAAAATAAAATAAAATAAAATAAAATAAAATAAAATAAAATAAAATAAAATAAAATAAAATAAAATAAAATAAAATAAAATAAAATAAAATAAAATAAAATAAAATAAAATAAAATAAATGTTTACATCTCAAATTGTGGATTACTCGAAACATTCCAAGCTTGCTGTTCTCTCTACTACATATAATCATTTGCAAAATATAACTTTGATACATTTTAAATCGTTGCCATGTAGTAGTTGCGGCTAATCGGCCCTTGAATTTCTTGCCTTATTTTGTCTTGTCAACAATTTATGATATTTGTAATGTTGAGACAGGGGATGGTGTAATAGTAAAATGAAATTATTACAACAGCGTTCATGTAATTATGAAGAAATATGAAGTAATAGGATAGTATTTTAGACTTTTCAAACAGGATAAAAGTTAAATAGTTTGAATTTTTTAAATCAAATTTCTGAAATTCCATTTTTTAAAGATGCAGCCTAAAACACAATGCAAGTGGACTGAAGATGAAAACTATAAAGTCTTAAGAGTCTGAAATACTATCTTACTGTTACTTCTGTTAACCTATCTTATTAATATGAGATTGTTGATATAGTTTAGAAAAAGTCACCCAATTTTACGGTTCTAGAGCAAGCCGTTCAGGCGCTATGTGAGATAATGTTGGCGCGGGGTTCAACCCACTGGTCTGAATAGGATTAAAAACTGAAGTTATTTTCAACATAGCCGTAGGGTACTACTAACTCATCCGTTAATCTTGATAGTCCTATTGGACATGACAAGACTACGAAAAACTGAGAAAATAAGTACAGTAAGTACAGTGCACAAAACTAAGAAAACAGTTAAGCATGGTCACCTTGAAACAACTACAGTGGAAAATGCACCAGCTCCATTCTGGGCCTTTACTGTCACATAGTACACAGGAGATCCGGTGGCTTCGTCATAGAGTTGCAGCTGCAGGTTGTTGATGTAGGCGCTTTCATCAGGTCCCATATTTTCGAACGGCATTACGTCCGTGTCGCCTTTGAATACGCAGGGCATATGTAAATGTATAAAAAGTCTACTTTCTTACCATCAGAACAAAACTAGAGAAACTGCCACATAGTATGGTTATCAATGTTTCTGTTGATAGCAGTTCAAAATGTATATCAATGACGATGTCATAGGTCTAGGCTCTGTTTATGTTTTACAGGATGCCCCCCTCCCCACGCTGTACCCACCTGGTGACGTCCCCACAGCAGCCCAGTACGCGGTGACCTTGCTCTCTCCGTCAGTGGCCCGCCAGGACACCAAGATGGCGGACAGGTCGGTGTGCAGAACGTACCCATCGTACAGCTCCTCCAGCTCATCAGGCATCACATCAACGGCAACGTGCAGGTTCTATGTTGCCAGTGCAGGTAGGGACTTATTATGTTTGCCAAGAAGGTCATGTTTTACGTAGCGTTTGTGTGTGTGTGTTCTTTAGATCGATTGCCGTGAAACGTAGTAGGTGGATAGGTGTTGATGAGATCTAGAAATTATTAGACTTTGGGCCCTCTGTTGGCTTGTTATGGTGGACCACTGCAGCAGAATTTCCGGTTTTGATATCTCGTGATCTGGACATGTTAGGGTCATGACGTTTGGATGGTGAATAGCTCTTTTGCTCAGCCACTTTTAGCCAATAAACTACAATCCACATTCAAAAGCCTCTGACATGGTAAATATAAACTTGGGCAAATGGAGCATGTTAACACCTGGTAAAGACATCTCGTGTACCTGATTGGAAGAAAGACAAGCTCTTGCCAAAACCAAATTTTGAGTTTGGGAACAGTTGTACCATTGCTTAAATTACTTAAGTAGTAATATGACGAAAGGGGAGTAGACGAACCGATGGTGGAGTAGGATCCACGATGACGCCGTCCGTGTCATGCGTAGTCGTCAGTCCGGCCCCGTTAACAGCAGACACCCGCACACTGTACCGCGCGCCTGGTACAAGACTCAGCGGGTCGCTGTTGGTCCATCCGGCGGCACTGCCTTCAACAATCACCCAGTCGTTCCTGGTACAAACAGGAGATCACCAGGAGAGCAAACGCTGATTATTGTCCATATAAGGTCAAATATCATGAAGTCCATCCACAACTTCTTAGGTTATGCTCTTTATCAGGCAACCATGAAGAAAATCATTGGCAACAAAAACGTAGTTGACACAATGCAATAACCTTTTACTTCTTGACACAATAACCTAACTACTTGAAACTTTGTTTCAAGTTAGCAGGGGCAACTTGAAGCAAACGGGTACAGCAGTTTGACTTACTTCTGTGCCGGGTAGATCTGCTGACGACTTCCTCCATGGTACTGGAACACAGCAAGTTTGTAGTGGTCGATTCCTGACTCGGGATCTTCGAAATCCCAATTTACGGACAGATCTGTTATGCTGGCCTGTGAAAACATAAATACGGTAAACAAAAGCACGATTGGCATCCGCAAAACGAGATTGTTTTTGCAATGCAAGGGCTATATGATTTTACAATACAATTTAGTTGAACCTACGACCATGCAGTTTAAAATCAGGTATTTTGCTTAACGCTGTATCTTTTCTATACCTGAAAGATCCACCCGCACAAATCACTGAACACATGCTGTATTCTGTCAATCCCTTTGTCATGTGTAAGATGATACTTTACCGAGTATCGAAGGTCCGTCCCTGTCTGGCTACCATCTCCAATGAAACGCATAAGAGGAGCGGTAGTGTCCATTGTGTACCCGTCCGACTCTGTCACCACAACGCTTCCAGCTCCATTCGAGGCGTTCACAACAACGTACACGAAATCTCCGTCGTGCAGGTGGAAGTGGTGCCAGTTGATGCTGTGCGCTTCCTTCCCCACAGAGGTCGCTTCGTGGATCACGTGAGGAGCAGTATCGGCACTGCTGTTATCTACAAGCAACACGGAAGGCAATATCAAGAGCATTATGGTCGGTGATTTTTATATTCATAAAAGAGATGCCATTCATCCATGTATTTTTTTTCATTTCTATATATATGTCCCAAAGCCATTCTTAGTAAAATAATAACCTTGAATGAATTAGTTAATGGTTTGTAGATCAACACACATAGCAGCCATAGGCTGAATATTGCGTGTTTCAGCACACATAATAGATTGAAAAGTACGTTCTTTAACACATTAAACGCAATTAAAAAGACGTGATTATTAAAACCCTATAT